AAGAAGATTGATATCAACTTCCAACAATTCTTTTTATCAACTTCCAACAATTATTTACCTGGACCAAAACCCCTCTCACTTGACAAAACTTAGGAATGTTAATTTCTGGCAAGATTGTGAATAGAAGAATTGTCCTGCCTGGCATGGAACTGGAAAATGGGTTAAATGAGCCTGAGAAGGGAAATGAGATTTTGAAATACATGGCTACTGTGCCTCAGCTGAGAAAACAGATATCAAATTTGGACAAAACTGAACATTCAGCACCAGTATATACCTGTGTTGAGCATCTTGAAAAAAATTATATATTCTTCTTTCACTTGATGTTGATATCTCCAAATAACTACAACTGATTTTTGCTTAACAGGTAAAGCAAAGTTAATGAGGGATGATTTTTGGTTTATGAAAGAAGACCTGGCAAAGCTTCTAGAGGGGAAGTTGGTTGATGGTTCCACTAAAATAACAACAGCATCCTTGAAACTGGAACTTGTACTATTTCAAACCAAGATTGACGAACTGAATTCCATTCTCAACTTTATCTTACTAGCAATACAAAGAAAGATTTCCAATCATGAACTAAACAAAAAAGAAATATCAAATAGCCTTGAATTAAAAGAAAGCAAAGGCAAAAAGAGCAACTCAAAGAAAGATTATGTAACTCCTTCAAGCAGTACAAAAGAAATTGATTCAAATAACCTGTCTGAAACAAGTAAATTAGGAAGAGATGAACTTGAATTAATTGAGGCATTTGTTCCAAAAATCTTGGCCAAGAACCTTATCCATTTGTTGGACAAGATAGAAGTATTGGGAGTAGATGAGGAAATTGATTCAAATGATGTTAAAACCTTTGTAGCTTTAAGGCTCCAAAGCCTGGTTTTTCAAGGAATTGGTTACTTGTATAAATACAATCTTATAAATAAGCAAGATGTCAAGAATTTATTTGAATCAAAGAGCAAGATGGATCTTGCTGCAATCAATATGGTCCTCATGTTCAAAATCAATGGAGGTTTTGATCAGTACATTCCAATTTGTTTGAGTGGTAAACAGATTTTAAGAAGTCAACATTCATCACATTTTAGGGTTTTGTTTAAAGGTAAGGTGGACATCTCAACAAAACAAAATTTCCCTGCATTGTGACTGACTTTGAAATTTTCAAATTACTCATTTGATCAGCTCTTGATGAAGATAAAAGGAGATATATCTCTTATGCTTGCCTTAAATTAATCTATTATTACCATATACTTGAAACCAGCTTTATTGATCTTGAAGATACACCAGAGCAGAGGAGTGTGAGGGAGGAAATGGATCAATTCTTTGAAAATGATCACTTATTCAAAATTTTGGAAGAGCATATCTCAACCCAATCACACTCAAATTTATATTTAAAACATTCCTTTAATGATGTCATCACCAATATGGAAATCATAAAAGAGATCCAAGATTTAAAAAAGGAATTCATTTATCCAGGTCCTGAATTATTTCATGACATTAACATAGCCATCCAATTCTTTATACTCAATTTCATAGAAGAAAATTACACCAATTTCTTCTTGGAGCTGCAGAAAGATGACAAAGTTTTAAAAACAAAGTTGGATTTGATGACTGCATCATTCAATCTAATCCAAGAAGTAAAAAACCTGAAGGAGTATTTGCATTTGTTACATAATATGATTGATCCAAAGTTTGAGGGTTTTCAACATCTTGAGATGAAGGAAATGACAAGGAAGGGGGCTCTCCAGGAGCTGGAACTACTTTCAAGCTATCTTCAAATAATTTCATTCAAGTATGAAAAGCAAAGTATGCATTTATCACAAGGGATATCTGATGAAAAATATCTCCAGTATGAAAAACTTAATTTGTTTATAAGGTTTACACAGGATTTTATATACTTGGTCCATTTCCAAATACTCTGCTTCCTTTCTTGATTATGGTGAGGATTCTTACTTATTACCAATTTTGCAATTCACTTTTTCTCACCTATATAAAATTCATTTTGAAATTTACCAAGGTTTATTCTGCCTTTTTGTGAAAAATTGAGAGTTTCATTACTAAGAAACCAAACCAGACTGAAGAACAAGAAATGGTCAGAGAAAGAATCAAGAAAAAAGATGAAAATAAACAGAGAAATTATTTACCACAACAGAAGAATAATCTTAAGAGAGAAACAACTGAATATAGGAAGACAAGACAGAGGAGAACACAAGACACAAGACTAAAGATAAAAAGGAAAAGTATTTTCTCACCAAAGTGGATACTGGAGTGATCCAATTGATGATGATGATGATAACAGAGTTGGAGAGCGTGGATTCAATGATTGACAGAGTAGATAATGTGGAGTTCAGATGGGAAGTTGACAGAGTCATAGAGAGTTGAGTCAAAGGTAAGTCGAGTCAAAGAGAGGCAGTGGGAAGAGAGGAAGAGGTGTAGGATAGAAGATAGATATATGAGACAATAGTATACTTTTGAGAAGGGACAAGAATGGAGAACGGACAGAGAAGAGTGGAGGATCTCAGTGGGAGAGAGAGAGACAGAGTCGAATTGAAGGACGGAGTTAGGTTTTCAAGGTGAGATTGAGTTAGGTTTGAGGTGATGATGATTTGAGTTATGCTGCGGATTTCTGGAGGAGATGAGCTTTCACAGATGGATCACGAGGATTTCAACACTTTCCACTTTCTAGCCAGCTTGTAGACTCCTGTTGATCAATCAATCTTACAAGAAATATAACACATCTGTGTTTGATCAAATCCCAGTGGATCTTTTTCAGATTTGGTATTTGTTCATTTTCTTCCTCAACACAGTGACAAATCTTAAGATAAATGTTTTTCTTTCAGTGAATCAAGTTTCAAAGTACCAGATTCACATACTAAATTCTGAAACTGAATATCCATTGAGCTGTGAATTCAATAGTTCAACTTTTAAGGTCTCTTTTAATTTAATCTGTTACCTCACTTCTTGTTGAATGATCATTGATTCTTCCTGGGGATTGTGTGATTTTTGACCAGGTTTAACACTTCATAGAAAGTAAAACATGAACAGCAACATAATCAAGAGGCTTTTAAAAAAACCCTCAAGCAACGGTGGGCCTTACACTAACTGTAGTGTTATTGTAGCGGAAATCACTAAACTTTAGTGTAGCGTAGCGGAATTCTGCCACATCTCACACTAACACTACATGCATAGGCCCCAAAAAAGGGCACACTATGCTACGCTAACACTCTGGTTAGCAGTTTTTTGGCCCTGTAGCGCAGTGTAGCGTAGCAAAAATCCGTTACAAATCCGCTAACACTACATATTTTTGGCGTAAAAAAAGCGCCGCTACACTATGCTTTTTGGGCCAAAACTTAAAAGCGTAGCGGCCCACCACTGCCTCAAGTCTCTCAAGTTTTGGGAGAACAAATCCCAAGTTTTATGGGAGAACAACTCCCAAATTGAGGGGAAGTTGTGTTGACCGGCCTCATATCCATCTCTCAACCATCCAGGACTTATTTTCCCAAAATCACTAGCAGGGGAGGGATTTGTTTGTCTCATTAAATTTATACAAAAAAGTAGGCTCTCTCCCAAACCTGTGTGTAGGTTTGAGAGTGGTCTCAGCAAGACTCCTTGGCAGGTCAATACAAGCTATCCTTATCATCCATTGATGGTCCTTCTGAGGAGCAGGCCTCCCTAGCATGTTTATGTAGATTTTGAGAGTTCATCTGGAGTCAAAAATCTATTTTTTTTTTCAAGTGCTGATTTGACATTCAAATTTGTAACAGCTTTTGCCACAGAATAAGCCCCATTGGAATGAAAAGACATGTACTAGACATTCTTAGAGTTTATGGTGTGGCTGAAAAAAAATCACCAATATCTTTCAAGGCAATACACGTATCTCAGATATATAGTCACTTGGAGTACAAGAAGATTGGCTAGTATTTTCGACCTTTAGACCTACCGGTCTTGCACTACAGAGGTGCAGTAAGAATTACATATGAATGCACTCCTGTAGTGCAAAAACGGTGTTTTGGGATACAATCCCGCTCCCAATCCCGATCCCGCCATCCCGCCATCCTCCCCCCCTCGGAACGATTGTATTCCCAATCCCAATCCCCAATCCCAATCCCCAATCCCTATCCCCTATCCCTAACCCCTATCCCTAACCCTAACCCTCTCCCTAATCCCTATCCCTATCCCTATCCCTAATCCCTATCCCTAACCCTAATCCCTAACCCTAACCCTACCCCTAATCCCTAACCCTAAGGCCTAAGGCCTATTGGGGTGATTGAGGAGGGAGTTTTTTTTTTTGAAGTCGAACTTTGATCGGGTTGACTGGAGGGGGTGCGGGAGGATTGCGGGATTGCGGGATCGGGATTGGGAGCGGGATTTACCGCTTTTGCACTGTAGGAGTGCATTCGCATGTATTTCTTACCGCACTTCTACAGTGTATGGCATGTAGGTCCACAGGTCGACCGTATTTTCCAACCAACACCCACCAACTATGAGTCTGACATATGTGGTTGGATTTTCTGAGGATGTTGGAGACCTTTATGATGATTTGATTCTGTGAAGGCATGAGATCGTGATTTCGTAATGAAATGAGAAATCATGAGACTGTCTCATATCCGGGTGTCTAATGAGTGAAAGGTGACCCTGAAAAGGGGTTACAACAGATTCGTTTTAACAGACCAGCAGTGGTCCATTTAAACAGCTTATTTTCTACACTGGTTGTTCAGATTGAGATGAATCATGATGTTTTATGAGTTCATGGCAGGGCCATTGAGGCAAACCAAGTGCTCTGGGTCTCCAATTAATGAGCAGAAGTATGGTCTTGGAGGACAGAAGGATCATAATGAATATTTATTTTGTATACTTGTGTATGTATTTAGGTCCCAAACGGTGCGGGGAGAGCCACATAACACGCACCGTCGGAAGTTTTTCGTCGCCAAAATCTACCCGAGATAAGACCAAATTAACCATACACTTAACCAGACGATCCTTGACCGACGAATAGAAAGAGTGGGAGAAAGATGCCAGGAAGACTCGAGCACCGGGTTGCGGTGATCACTGGAGGAGGGAGCGGGATCGGGATGGAGTCGTCGTTATTGTTCGCCTCGGAGGGCTGTCTAGTGATCGTGGCCGACATCGATGGCCAGGCCGCCGAACGCACCGTCGAGAAAATCAAGGCCTCCTCTTTCGCCGATAAATGTCCCCCTCCGGTGGCCGTCCAATGCGATGTCGGAAGGGAGGAGGACGTCAGCGCGTTGGTCAACAAGGCCGTCTCCGTCGGGAAACGATTGGACGTTATCTTTAATAAGTCTGTCCATACTCTCTCATCTCACAGATCCGAAAAAATTCTAAATCCATTCTAAGCTCAGAGTTAGATCAATCAAACTGATGATGTTCATCAACATCTGATTATTTTTTTTTGTGAAAAAAAATAATGAACAATACAGTGCAGGGATCATGCATCCCGACGACTCGGATGCGATCCAGACGGAGGAGAAGATATGGGACCTGACGATGAAGGTGAACTGCAAGGGGGTGTGGTGGGGCTGCAAGTACGCGATCCAAGCGATGCTCCAGAACCCGACCGACGAGGCCAAAGGCTTGAAGCGGGGCGGCAGTATCATCAACACTGCCAGTTTTGTTGCCAAGCTTGGCGCGGCTACTCCTCAATTAGCTTGTCAGTCCTCTTCTCGATTCGCTTATCTCGACTCACGCTTCATGCTCAATTTTATTAATTCTTTTTTTGTTTTTGGTTTTTGGATCCAGATACGGCTAGTAAAGGCGCCGTGTTGGCTATGACCAGGGAATTGGCGATGGTCCATGCCCGAGATGGTATCAGAGTTAACGCCCTATGTCCGTAAGTAAATCGACAGAAGATATCGAGAAAGATCATCTACTGAATACCAGTTCTTCATCTTTTTTTATCTACATAGGGGCCCGCTTCGTACCCGTAAGTCAGCTCGTACCACCCTCAACTTAGATGTTTACAAGAAAATCTGAGGGAAATATTTTGTGAACTGGGGACATGACGAATGAATGGGCTGGGCAGCCTTACTGATGGATTTCCTGAACACGCCGGAGAAGCGAGAGCGCCGGGTAGTGCATTTGCCGATGGGCCGATTTGGCGAGGCGATCGAGCAAGCCCGGGGGGCCTTGTTCCTTGCCTCCGAGGACAGCAGCTATGTGACCGGGACGGACTTCATGGTCGATGGCGGGGCTCATGCCTGTTATGTCGTGCGTCTACTTCCCCGCTTCAAGACAGCAACCCAGCTCGTTCCCGACCTTATCTCATAACTGATCAATCTTTACCCACAATTTGTTTTTTGTCATTCAGACTCCTACTGGTGAACCTGCTTCAGAACCTCCCAAGAGTCTCGCCTCCTGATGATAGTCCGCGGTTGAGGATTCGCGAGAGATTTGAATACAAGCGTTTCCTCCCCACAATCCAGTTTTTTGTTTTCTTCAAATAGTTGTACTATTAAAAGTCATCTTCATCCTTGCTTCCTTCCTCCGTCGCCACCATCCTCTTTCCATCGATGTACCGTCTTTATTTCTTTCTTGTTGACTCTCACGAGCGCTCATCGATCTAATGACCAATCGACCAGAAATCCAGTGACACACACACGAGATTCATGGAACTATGATGCTGCGATCCACGAATAGATCTATAAGTCAACCTCTGGATTGGTGTGATGAATTATAATTGGATTGCACCATAGAAAGACACAGACAATCCTGCGAACAACTGATCATGCAATGAGATAGAAAAACAAAGGAATTTGTTTAAGAGATGATGGAAGCGAGGTACATAGATATTATTCAAGTGAGCTGTCCGAAGTAGAGACCAGTTGTTTGGCCAAGTTCTCAGCGGTTTCAGCGGGCCCATTCGACGACTTCAGCGAGCCCAGAGCGTTCGGGCTCGGCAGGCCAAGAGGGGACGATCCAGGAGGCCGAACGGGTTGTAGAGGGTGGCGGCAGATGTGGGACGCACTGGGAGTAAAAGGTCGAGCTTCTAAGGACTTCCTGCGGGGCGGATGAGGAGGCGGAACGGAGGAGCCGATCCAGGACCGGCTCCAGAAGTTGAGTTGGGTCGAAGGTGGGATCGGGAGCAGGGATGATCGAGGAGAGGTAGATGATCTGCTCGTCTTCCGGACATGAGCCCGAGTCTGGGCCGACGATCAAGGCATGGACTGGCCGTCTATCGGCGCAGCCTTCCTCCGGGGGGAAGACGACAAGCGCATGGCTGCCACGGGGCTCGGCGGTCTCCACTTTTCCCAACTGGTTTAGTTTATCAAGGCCTGACCGGCCGACGATGGCGATTGCCCTACTGATGGTGTATGCGGTCGGAGGAGGGGAGATGTCGGGTAGGAGCAGGGAGAGGTATTGCTGGGAGACCAGTAGCCGGCCGGCCGAGAACTCAAGATGATCTTCGCCTCCGACAGGGTGGCCGGACTGGCGGCCGAGTCGAATGATCCAACGCTGCTGAGTCCCGTCGATGGACTGCCGCAGAGACAGGACCGGTCGGCCGAGGACCTGGGTCGCCCGTCCGGTGACGGCGGCGGCCCGGACGAAGCCTTCGGCCCATTCGCCTCCGCCGCCGTACTCGCCCAACAGCAGCGCAGCGGGCAGGGCCGAGAGCGTCGCTGAGGGATGCCGTCCAATGGCCGATAACAGCGTCTTCAGGCGTCCCAGAACCGGCCCGGCCGCCGGATCTTCCACAGCCGAAAGCGATAGCGCTCCTATCACCGTAACCAATCTCGGATTCGTTATCATGTATGGCGGTCGACTTAGGTAGTCTGATAGTGATTGGCCTGGCTCAGCTGTCAGATTGGAGACAAATTAAGTCAGCCAGACACATCGAGAATTTTCCAACGAGGTGTGAAAGCATAAACGAAACAAGCCACCGACAAAAGAAAAAAACACGGATTATTCGGTAAGGAGGAGAGAAAAGGTAGACTGACGACGTTATGCTCACGTAAGAGTAGCCGGTCAGGCTCGAGGATAGCCTGAAAGAAGCGCATGAGGAGTCGTTTATCGAGCAGACTGAGTTGGGACATTCTGAACAAGTCGTGTTTAGATCCGGGAAGAGGCAAGAGAGAGAGGTCGGGCTGAGCGAGAATGAAAGCATGCAGGAGTTGGAAGGAGAGATAGGGGGCGACGTTGGATGCGACGAGAGCGTCGACGAAGGTTCCTCGGGCAGGCACTAGGGTGGGTTGGAGCGAGAGAGAATATGCGGAAGACTTGTTCTGGCTGACGGGACTGGTCGAGGAGGGGCCGGTTGATCCTGGTGCACTGGTGAAGGAGCTCGAAGAGGTGCAGGCATATGAGCCTGATTGGAGGGCGTCCAGTTCGACGGCCGCCCACGACTGGCCATAGAAGCTGTTGGGGTCCACCTGGAGAACGGCGGTAGAGCTATCTGAAGACGCCAGGTGACTGTGAGCCAAAAAGAATTATCATCAGTTTTTCCATGCAAAAGAATAACTTGTGAAGTTGCTAGGAAGTGGGTGAGCAGTGCTCAACTGTGCTACCATCGATTCGATCAGGCCGGTGCCGATGACCAAGTAGTCAAACTTTCCGTCCTTTCCATCCTCTGCTTGCTGTTCGTCCATCAATCGATACCTGTTTCCTTGAGCTTGGAGCGTACAAAATTTCGAGACTCCTACTAAGTTGTTCCGTGTAGATTGTGTGGTTTCTAGTCACACAGCTCGTGCCTCGAGGGGTTGGCTCTATGTACTCGGTTGGAGATATGACGTCAAGCAGCAACCACCCTCAAAACTCAACATGACCTCACTTTACAGTTCCTCATTGAACCGGCCCAGACACAACAAAAAGAAGAACAGGAAACACAAATCTCAAAGCTACATCAACTGTTCAAGAACCATTCATTATACATACATATCAGCTTGATTTGTTTGGACTGATGAACACCGGGAAATCGGCTAGAAATTTACATCGCAGGGCATCCAAAAAGCTGATCTGAGTCTGGTGGACAGATTATACCAGGGGGACAGTGGTCCTGCTCTGTAGACAGTGGCTCATTCTCACTTGATCAACTTTCAAAGTTTTTCTTTTTTTTTATTTCAAGAAAAAGCAGTTCCACTAACTACAATACATATATACATATCAAGAGTGCCGAGTTGAATTTGGGACATGATGGGTCTCAGCATGAAGCTTTACAGCTGAAGCCATTGTGCTTTCTCTTGGAGAAGGTCAACAAACTGTATCTGACCAAAGATCATCAATTGCATCAGACAAAGATATCCCCATTATCATGATCACCCAGCCGATTCAGAGGGCTTGACACTCCAGGCCACCACGGAGTCACTCTCAAGGGGGGGCAAGACTACTCCGTTCTCGTTGCGCCATTCGAGGAAGCCTCGTCATGATGGGCAACATCGTCGTGAAAGAAATCCGAGGAAAGCTTGATGTCTGCATGAATCGCTTGCCAGAAGGGCTCGATTTGACGCGACAAAGAGATCCTATCCATTATTTTGATTTTCTAAAAAAAGGGGGGGGGGGAAAGAGGGGTAGATATGCTGATTAGTAAGATGTGGTGTGTGCCAGGAACGGATTCGGAAGGATCAAATAACAATTGATCCTGAAAGAATGTAAATCAAGAGTGAACTGTACTTACCAGGTTCATTGGACCATGTTCCAGCTTTTCGTGCTCCACCTGATGAACCATTTCAGCCACCACCTGCACGTAAAAGAAACGTCGGAGAGAGTTCAGCGATCATATCCCAAAGAAAAGAAAGAAAAGAAAGAAGCTTAACATTGATCGTAGAGATTCCCAAAATAGATGCCAGCAGAGTTTCGCCAAAGTCGTGATGTATATTTTTTAGGTTTAGCAGTAAGCCTGAGTGGGTATCTTTGACAACTTCTTGCTGGGCCAACGAAGCAAAACAACCGATCGAAGTTCCTAAATAGCTCAGACCAGTCGAATTAATATCTAGCATTCAAAGAATGGAAACCGGCAATGAGTCTCACCTGTCATGCATCCGCTCCCAGTGATACCGGAAAGCTCACTGACGCCATTATTGAGTCGGAATACATGAGTTCCATCGGAGACCCAATCGGTCTTGCCAGTCATCACAACAACACAAACTACCAATCAAACATGAGGCGTTCTTTCAAAAAAAAAAAACCTGGGCTGTTTTTATTTTTTGACGCTTGTTTGTTTTTACTGACGTTCTTGTCGGGCCAGATGTTTGACCAACAGGGCTGGTTCTTCCACCTCTCCACTCGAATCAACCCCACATGAACTTACCCCGTTACTGTTGAATCTTGCTAAGCTTGCAATCTCGGCTTGGTTACCTTTGATCACAGACATTTGGACGGCGTTTAAAATTTCTAGAGAGGAATAACAAAAAAAAAGTCATCCATATACTGATTCTGAAAAATCTCACAATTCAAACACAAGAAAGACGGACACCGGAGAATGGAAAAGGACGGGGAAGCCAATCAAGGAACGTACCATTCGCCTTCTTTTTCCTTTCTCGACTTGCACCGACGCCAACGGGATCAAAGATGACGGGTTTGCCGGTCAGATTAGCCTGACGGCCTGCCAATTTCATGGCCCGGACTTGATTGTCATCAAAAGTGCCGAGGTTGAGGACCAAGGAGCCAGTTGTGAGGTTGACCAAGTCTTCCATCTCATTCAGATTTGAAGACATGATCGGAGAGCAGCCGTAAGCCAAGGTCAAATTTGCGCAATCGTTCTGGACCACGGTGTTGGTGATATGGTGAATCAATGGAGTCGAAGTCTTGCTGTGGAACTTCATCATTGCGACTGCCAACTTCAGTTGTATCTTGACCTGAGGATTGCTGAATGGCTCCGCAGGAGCTCTGAGCCAACCTTTGAACTCTTGTATCATGTTTTTCAAGGTTTGAGTCGACTGGTATGGATCGGGTGATTTCATGATCGCCGAAACGACCGCCACGCCGATTGGAGATTCAGCATATCTATCCGTGTAGAGATGGTTAGATGTGCAGCCGTATAGCGTCCGAATCAAATTTGTCGCATTGATTCCACCTTTCCACGAAGCAAGACAAACAGCGTCATTCTTTTTTTCATGTTGTTGTTTACCTCATCTCTTTTGACATGCCACTCACCGATCGCGACCAAGGGGACGGATAATCCCAAACGATCCAGTTCGTCACGGATGGTTTTGATTCCTCTAGGGCCTAAAAAAAATAGAATTCAAGTCAGGATGGTTCCCAAGCGATCACCAACATGGTTTAAAAATCAACAATAGTTTTCTTTTTTTCAGGAAACACACCAATGATTTTATGTTCTGGAATCGATTTGGTTCCAGTTGGCCAGCAAGTTCCAACGCCCAGATAAGAAGCGCCGGTTCTGACGGCGGCCACAGCCTCTTCGACGGTATTGACGCTGATTCCGATAATCTCTTGGACACGGAAGATATTCTGAGCGTCCAATAGAGGCATATCATCCTGTCCCAAATGAACCCCATCGGCATTAGACGCATGAGCAATATCGATTCGGTCGTTGATGATCAGCTTGACGGGTGGTTGACAGATCTCGCGTAGTGCCTTGGCACGCTCCAGGAAGAGCTTGGTCGATAGATTCTTCTCCCTGAGCTGGACGATCTTCACCCCGGCGCGGACGGCCTCTCGGACGGTCGACTCCACCGTCGCACCGGCTGGAAGATCCTCCGATGAGGTAACCAGATAGAGACTGTAATCGATCATCGCTCAAATGTAGGCTTGCGTCTATTACCGCCGTCTGGAGCAACTGCAATGGATATGTATTGTATGCCGGGTCCTTCGTTGAGACTGAGAGTCGACCAGGCTGATCGATCCAGTAGTATATCCCGGTGTAGCTTTCTTCTGCCTGAAGCACTTCCGGCTTCGCAGTCACTACGAAGAAGCATAATATCCTGTTCTGTATTCCGACTGGCCTTACACAATTCATGATACACACAACATCCAATACAGCTCGAGAGATGTTTGAGAAACTTAAATATAAACCGGGCAGACGCGCCGGCCTCTCGGAGCCTCAGGTTAATCGGATCGGGGCATGGCTGCGGCGAGTAAGATCTGTGACATCTAGATGGAAAGCTGTGACTCTTCCTTAGCCGGATGGGCTCGACTGTGACCTAACCGGATGAGACTGTCGAAGAAGGTGTACCGATACCGGGAGATCTCCGCAGCAGACCGCATCCCGCGTGCTTGGACTCCAGCAGGGGCCACTCCCACACTCTTGTGCCGTCAAGCTCGCCCCCGCCCATCCTCTACCCTCGCCACCCGTAATTCCTACCATCACCATCGACCACCATGGGCAGAGGTAAGCAGTATCACACTCACGCGCGTTGGTCTCGCCATACCATCTGTTGACTAAATTCAACTCTATCAAAAATCATCAAAATCAGTCATCCGTAACCAACGTAAGAGCGGTGGTATCTTCAAGGCTCACCAAAAGCACAGGATCGCCCCAGCTGCTTTCCGTCCTCTCGACTTTGCCGAGCGAAATGGTTACATTCGCGGTTTGGTGAAGGAAATTCTCCACGAACCTGGACGGTAAGAGGACAACCCATCAATACTCTCCTGAGCTTAACAAGATCACCTGGCTAAACCAATCAATATGGACATCAATTATCTAGTGGAGCCCCTCTTGCCCGAGTAGTTTTCCGGGATCCTTACAGGTACAAGATGCGCACGGAGACTTTCATTGCCACTGAAGGCCTCTCGACCGGATCGTTCATCTACTGTGGAAAGAAGGCCAGCTTGACAGTCGGTAACGTCTTGCCTCTCGCCGCTCTCCCCGAAGGAACGATCGTCTGTAACGTTGAGGAGAAGCCCGGAGACCGTGGAAGCTTGGCCCGAACCAGTGGAAACTACGCCACCGTCATCGGTCACGACCCTGAAACCGGAAGATCCCGAATCAGACTTCCAAGTGGCACCAAGAAGACCGTCATCTCCAGTGCCCGTGCTACCGTCGGAATCGTCGCTGGTGGTGGTCGAATTGGTAGGTTCCAACAAGTCTTGTACAGTTCGATGGATATCTGAGATATTGACCAACCTCCCTTTATCCTATCAGACAAACCCATGCTCAAGGCCGGACGGGCTTACCACAAATTCAAGGTCAAACGTAACTGCTGGCCTAAGACTCGTGGTGTGGCTATGAACCCCGTCGATCATCCTCGTAAGCCAAGCCCCTCTAAATTCGTAGCCATCATTAAGTTATACATGCTCATTAGTCTTACTCGACTTGCTACAGATGGTGGTGGTAACCACCAACACATTGGTCACGCCTCGACCGTCCGTCGGGATTGCGTTTCTGGACAGAAGTGTGGTCTCCTTGCTGCTCGTCGTACTGGTTTATTGCGTGGAACTGTATCCAAGAAAGATTAGAGAAATGCAATCGAGATTCCCCGTCCACCCAATCCACCATCCATGTTATTCCTCACGTGATCCTATGGTGATTGGCTTTTAGGCCCGTATGCTCCTATGCACCAGAATGCCTCTCCCCTTATAACTATGTAAGATTCATCATCGCAATGCACTTTGACGTCACAAAAAAATCAATCATTATCGCCCTTCGCTCGCTCGCTAGAGTCAATTCAAGCGGCAGATTGCCGATAGTCTCCCATTTGCAACCCCAGTTGCACCTTGCTATCCTCTCTTCTGAACACACATCACGGTTTATCAGTCCTTCAATCTCCTCAGAAGACTTGAGCACTTGGCCGCCTGAACCTTAAGTGGCAGAACCCTGTTGTTGAATAACATGGAGTACATCCTACCTGCCTCGGCAATGCACTTCCATGCTCACATTAATGTACTCCCCCTCTTTGTGGAGGGGGTATGCCATCCCCCAAGAGCATGATGAAATCCATTTCTGCCATCATGGGCTCTGGGCTCCAGACTCCCCGAGCTTCCATGAGTACATGAGTCCAAAGTGATTTACTGCTGGTGTGCTTCACTATGATCAGGGGTCAGGGTAAGATTTGTGCATTGCGTTTTGGCATCCAAGGGGTGCCAATCTTGCTCACAAAGAGGTTGAATTGGTTGTGGGTCTGCATATGAATTTGACACAACTCCCTCCCTGGGCCCGAATGGCCCCCTCCCACAACCAAAGAATTTGAGTGACACAGGTGTCTTTGGCTTGGAACCAATGGGCAGCCAGAGCTGGGTGAGCTGCCTGGAGCTGGGTCCCCCAGCTGACTAGATTTCCAAAAACAAAGTCTCTGTAGCTCACACAGCCCGCAATTGTGTGACAAAATTTGAATTTTGTCATGCTGACGAATTGCATATGCATTTTGAAACTCATGTCGTGGCCTAGGCGTCACCTGCCTGCCAAATTGTCACCTCGCACACCGCCCATCCATTTTGTCAGCTGAGACAGTTTTCAGCGAATTGACTCATTGACATGTACAAGCACTCAAGCAAATTTTGCATATATTCATGTTCCCAAACACATGTACAAGCTTCCTTTCTGGATGCTTTGATAGCACACAGATCCACATCAATGAACTGTGAATGTGATCAGCTTGCCTGAGATGTTTGGATGTAGCTGTACTCATCTATATTCATAGGCACAATCAAGATTTATATACATTTGCCAGCTGCCAGCCGCTACTGCCACCCGGCTACAAGAAATCTTCCATACTTGAACACTATATCATAATTTTTGCCCGGCCATCATGGCATCCACCTCTGATATCCAAGCGGTTATAGCTGCTGCATTAGAACAACAATCGAGAAATTTAGAGGCTCAACTTGCAACCCACAATGAAGCCATCACAAAGCTCATGGCTAAGACCAACTTGATTGATGATTCCCCAGAATCCTCGAAAACCAATTCAAACACGCCAATGGCGCAACCTGGCAGATCATCAAAGTCAAACTCCACTCCAATCAACAAGGGAAAGGCAAGCACTGCTCAAGGACTTGGAACATCAAAATCAGCCACACCAAAAAAATCCTACTAGCCCTCCCCTTGCAATACCCCTTCTAGTCAGCAAAAAACTCCATCTAGTCAGCAAAAGACCCTCTCTAATCAACAAAAGCACAGTGTGACTCCAAACACCAAATCTCCTCCAGCGAACCTGTTGCAGATGGTTACCAAGAACATGCCAGAGTCTTGTACTCAAGCCAGAGTGCGTCCTCTAATTAGTTCCTGATCAAGTTCTTTTTTTTTTCTAATTTATTGTTTTTTCACATTCTCACAATGCTTTCTACGCTCACATCAAGATCATGTGGAATCTTTTGGAGGAAAAGACCATTCCAGGCATGCCACCTTTAGATTTCCTCAGAGAATTTAACTCTTGCTTTTCAGATGCCAACAAAATCAAACAGACAGCCAAAAATACCAATGCCTCTTCCCTGATCCCTGTCAAAGACCTCGTAACCCTCAAAAGTTTGACACTTGGCCGGAAAAAGGTTGGAAAAGGTTGGGTCCACCTGGAAGATCTTTTTGTGGAGTATACTCAGGCCACGCTGGCCTGCCTTGCACTGCGTATTTGGGCCGCAGACCTCAAAGATTCACCACATTTGCTGTATAAAAAGGCATGTAGACAAGCTCGCCTGAAAACTTTCTGGCAAGCTGCTTGCGGTGATGCGTATGCGTATATGAACATCAACAAAAACCATGCCAAAAACTTACAACTCCTGATCCCAATTCCCAACGTACAACCACTATGTACACTTTCTGCAAAAGAACCGGTACAAAAGGGAAAAAAAAGAAGTCGGGAATTTTTGTACTGACAAAGAACGGAAAGTGATTGGCCGGGCCCGGATTGAGTAAGTATAATGTTAACTTGATTCAAGCCCGCATCTTGCATGCAACCTCCTGACTCAGCAAAGGATAAAGGTTGCAGATACCCGCCAGGTGGCTTTTTTTACCAGATGCCTCTCAATCACTCATGGGGAAACAAGTCCCATCTGAAAAGGTAACCAACAAGCAGTTCACTGCAAAGTTCTTCAATAAGCTCTTGGCGCCTTACGATCTGACTCACGAGATATAAAATGAGGATGACAATGAAGACAAGACGGAAGAAGAGGCCAATGGAAGTTGTGCTGGCAAGGAGATTGATTTGAACAATACATCTGGGGGAGATGACAATGATGAAGATGAAGATGACAAAGAGGACCGTGACTTTGTTGATGGAGAAATGCAAGATGGCAAAGAGGAAGATTGAGAAGGGGAAGAAGAGGATGACAATGAACCAAATGAGGAAGAAGAAGGTGATGTGGAGGGCCGTGAGGCAAGGTATAATGTGATGGTACTTGATGAGGATGCACACTGGTAGTTTTTTTCCCAAAGTCTATGTATTTATATTCTTCTTTGCTAAGTATGATGGCCTTTGTGTCCCATATTTATGAGAAAAAAAAAGACAAAAAAAGACAAAAAAGAGATAAAAAAAATTAAAAAAAATAATAAAATTAATAAAAGAACAAAAAAGGAACTGTGGTTACTCTCACTTCTGTGTTTTATTGAAAAAGAAAGATTCATAATATGCTTGTGCTTGTTAATTTATTGCCTATCTGCTTGATACATTTTTGTTAGGGTGTGATTCTTGGCTTTTTTTAAGGGAAAGGCTTGTGATTTGCTCTGTTTTTTTTTTTTTTTTTTTTTTTTTTTTTTTTTTTTTGGGGAAATGAATCACTCCTATCAAATTGACAAAGATCTCTGGTCTTGTGACTGCAACAATTGCCATCAATGATGATGGGGGCTGGCCGGGACTATAGCCTCAAATGGGATTGAGGATTGAGCAAGATTAACAATTTTGGGTGGGGTTGAATTGCTAAAAAAAAGGTAGAAGGGAGATATTTTGATTACAAGAAATTGGTATCAGATGGGAGGTACAATTACCGGGCAGAAGAGGAACACAATAGAGGGGAAAGGTCATGTGGGATTTGTCTAAGTACAACCAAGGGCTGGTGGTGTCCAAATGCCCAAGCAGGCAGGTGCCTGTATGCACAGACAGATATGAGTTCACTAGGATCTGATAGTTCGAAGTTTGTATCCTCCCTCACAACAGCTAGCTCTAAGTCCACAAGACTTTGCCAAAACCCCTCACTGACCTCTATGTCATCCCCTAAGCAGGTGTTGCAAAGAAATTTTACTGCTACCAAGACCCTGCCCTCACGTTCAGGCAGTCTGTAGATGTGCGTAACCCACCCATAACGAGTCTGACTGTCCTTGCGATACACCACCAAACGGTTGGGTCTTGCTTTGCTGACATATAACCCATTCAGACGTTCCAACGCTTCCTCTTCAATGACAAACCGGTTCAGGATGTTTGCATCATCGGGATGCGGTACCTCCATGTATTGTTGCAAGGAATCATCTTTGTAGTGTAATTTTTGAAACATGACTGAATAGATTGTTGAATGCAATTGCATCAGTTTTGCAACAATATCCTCGTCCTGCGGTGATCAGCCTGAGGTTTGGGACTGGAGCCTTTGGACTTGACCAAATTCTTGCATCACAGTGCCTTCCAACTGACCTAAAACAAAAATAACCAAAATGTCAGACTAAATGATCTACCTATACACAATAACTGAAGCCTTACCAACAATTAAATTAGTCTGGAATTTCTGTAGTATTCCATTGATTTGTTCACCAGCAAACTCAGAAACATTCAAGAGGGAACCCCACCACTTCAGCTGTTCTGGAAGATGGAGAGCATAGTGATGGTTGGGTACAATGTTTGGGGATTCAAATACTAGCTTTGAAGTTTTGGTGTACAGTCGGTAAGCCTTGGACAGCTTTTTACAATCAGCGTGATCAACCGACTTCATTGATACAATGTTGGTACATATAACCAGTGAGTAAAAATTGAGCAACATGTTTACCAGTGCACCAGGCACACATTGAGCTGGGTTCTTGACAAAAAGTTGATGAGGGTGAGTGGGAGGTATGTCAAAAAGAGCGAATGCCATTTGCTTGCCTTGAGTTTACTGTGCTTTGGATCGCCCAGATTTGGAGGAACTTGATTCACTCCACAAAGAACCACATCATTTTGTAGTCCATGGTGTATGTGTGCAAGTGTGCCGTCTTGAAAATCCTGAGTAGAATGTGATGAATCTGAGTCATTGTCCTCCCAGTCGTCAAGCTGATAATTGTGTGTTGTGTACTTTGATGCTTTGGGGTCAAATGCCCAGTGGAAACACCAATGGTGCTGAAGAATGCCTTTGTACTAATTGTGCATGATGCTTAGAGCCACATTTCTCACAGGATCCCAATATGGTAGCCGGTTTAGTTCAGACCAACAAGTCCCATACTGTTTTAACAATTGTTTTTGCCCCGCAAGTGTGGTACAGTTTCTCCAGTTGAGTGCTTGCAATCATGTTTCTCGTTGTGCCCGCCTTGGACCCTGCTGCATGTTCAGCATATCAGGCTTCTGACATTTGCACCATGAGCAAAAACCCTGCTAAATGAAGCAAAACTGGCAATCTTGTGTGTTGCCACAATGTCACCAATCAATATTCACAGATGAAGTGATAGCTTTTGTCTGTTGGTAAATAGTGGGGTTTTCACAAAGATCCCGTTGTTGAGAAGAAGCAGTTCATCAACCAGGGGAGCTCATACGTGTGAAATCATCGTCATGTCTGGTTCCTCAGGTGCACTGTGCAGGAATCATTCCAGCAATAAATATGTTTTCACGTTTATTTTGACTATGTGGAGTAAAATCAATGCATGTAAGGGCTACAACCCCCATTGACGCCTGTTGTCCAGCTAGTTTCACTGCAAATGTGATTATATCAGATTCCCACATCTGGCATTACATCAGATGAAAAATCTGATTTTAGATCAGGCAAAACTGGTATTATATCTATCAGGAGTGATATTATACCTACCTAGAATCATGTTATATCTATCATAACAGATATTGCATCAGCCCAACCTATTTAATGTCAAAATAACTGATTTTATATCAGATTTTTTACATCTGATACAAATTTTTAGCCCATGGGCATTAAATCAGATAGAAAAATCTGATATGAATTCAGTTATGCTGACATTGAATAGGCTGGTCTGATGCAATATCTTTCATGATAGACACAATATCATTTTAGGTATATATAACATCAATTCTGGTAGATACAATCCCAGTTTTTCCTGATGCAATATCAGGTATTTTTATCTGATGTAATGCCAGATGTAGCAATCTGATACAATCACTTTGGCAGTGTTTATTGCTAAAAGGGTTGAACCAATCCACATATAATGAAAATGCCAGTTGAAGCTTGTTGGTACGTTAATTGCGGTCAGTCTTCAGTGCAAAAATCTTCCAGGCATTACACTGTTGAATGTCAACAATGCTGCCAGTGGCTGATTTGACCTTTTCTCTCCAGGAACACACCTCATCTTCAATTCCGGGAACATTAAGAAAACAGTTGAGCCAAGAGTCAAATTTCTGTGTGTGGTACATCAATTGAGGACTGAACAGCTTGAATTGAACTTCGCAAGGTTTTACAGCACAAGAGGTGGGTTGAAATTGCGCCAGAAGAGGATCCACGTTAGACTTGAAAAGACTTTTGCCACAAACTTGAGCTTTCTTTGACTTGCAATAGGTACAGGTAGTGGGGGTTTCTTCAAGTTCATAGAGGCTGAAGCATTTTGGGCAGCAGGGGTAGCTCTCAAGTTCAGGGTCTAGGCCAAGTCGCTTTGTGATTGTTCAGACATCTTTATATGTGTGTAGATAGGTGTTGCGGTCTTGAGGTAATTTTTGAAATGTTTTGATAATCAAAACTATCCGATCTCAGGCAATACAACAGTTACTTTGACTGACCCCACATATCAACCTGAGCCACGTGAGGAAAAAGAGGACAATCTCTATCAAAAATGTAATAAAATGGAGGTCAGTGGTAGGTTTATAGTATCATAAGTATGTAAAAACAACAACAGACTCACTGATACATTTGGGTTCAGTTTTCATTTCAAATGACTCTGACTCCGATCCAGAGTTGCTTGTGTCTGAACTTTGAGGTGGCAAAGTGACGGGGTGCTTTCAAGAATTTTTGGGCAGGACCAAAGTGGATGGAAGCGCTGAGGCTAAATTGTCAAGATTATCCAACGATGAGTAGTATTGAGACCAATGTTTCAAACAAGTCTTTGGGTGAACCCAACATCCAGGAATTGTGTCACCATTTGGTAGATATGTGGTTTGCTAAGCACATTGAGGACAGGTACATATCTTGAGGTTCATTGTTGAAGGTTCACAAGGTATTGATGATGTGGAGTTGGGCTTAGGGATTCACCTGCCGTATGAGGACAAAAGGTTGGTAAGGTGATTTGACCAAATGGGACACAATTTAAAACACTAAAGATCTCAGAAAAACTCTGTCAATGCGTAAGATGAGATAGATGAACACGAAGCAGGGATTACTTACACTTTTTCGATTTGGATTCCAATCCAGGTGTTAGAGACAGGCAACAGCGGCTTGTTGAGAGTGAGATGGGGATACTGATGTCCTATGTTTGAACTGTCAGCTGACGAAATGGACAGGCGGTGTGCAAGGTGACAATTTGGCAGGCAGGTGACGCCCGGGCCGCAACATGAGTTTCAAAATGCATATGCAATTTGTCAGTGCAACAAAATTCAAATTTTGTCACACAATTGCGGGCTGTGTCATTGGTTTCCACTGGCCCTAAAATCTGACCACCCAGCAGGTTGTGGGTTCAATTCCCATTGGCCCCATCTCCTGATGGGGGTTAGAATAGGGGTCAGGGGTTAGAGAAACCGCATTGGTGTGGGTGTAAATTCAGGAGTAGTGGAGTAGCTTAATCCCGGATTAGTGCTACTCCGGGTCGGCAACCGCATAGGTGTGGTGTAAACATGGGAGTAGCCGGGGTTGTGTGCATGTTGAGTGTGCCGATTGGCTCTTAATCCCAGGATTAGCAAGGAGTAACTTTACTCCTGCTTAGCTCAATTCCTACTCCGGGATTAGTTGAGTCCAATTAACTCGGACCCAATGCGGTTGAGGGCTTGGACTAGCTGGGAGTAGTTACGCTAATCCGGCCTTAATCCACTGACCAATGTGGTTGCTCTAACACTACCCATTTTGAACAGAATATCATTCTCATTACCCTGCAATCAGTATAGCAATACTCTCCCAAGCTAGGTTGTGTTGGGGGCGACCCAGGTGACTGAAACAGAAAAAATTATAAAACTCACTGAGGATCTTGACAGTGAATAAAATGATTTGTATTCAATGATCAAGAGAGGAAGAGAGAAGTACAGAGCTGGTAGAAAAGCAATAGCAGGGTGCTTGTTAGAAGCATAACTCAGTTACTGTAAGCATATGGCTACTACCTACAAGCTTTACCATCTCAACAGGTTGAAATATAATTTTAGCTACTAGAGTCTAATGGCGGCTTTGCTGCCACAATAAATCTCAATCAAAACCCATTAACACATAAAGGGCCTGGTGCTATTAGGGTTAATGTGATATGATTAAATTTCATCACCAAGTATAACAATTATCCCCTTGTTTTAGCCTAACTTGAAATCGTAGCCCCAAGCTAAATATTGGTTAAATACTGAATTCAAAATGCAACTGATTCACTTGTATTACGCTTCAAAAGGCAAAACCTAAAGTAATTGCCTCTGATCTAGAGATGGGCGGGGATAATCCGTTGCGGATATCCGCTATCCGCTGGCGGATACCCGCCAGTGCCAGGGGATATCCGCTGGCGGGTGCGGATGCCCCCTTTTCCGTGAAATCCCGGCGGATATCCGGGTATCCCCAAGGATACCCAAGGCAGGAAAGAGGAGATGGCTGGCTGGAAGGGTTTCCTTCCAGTCGACGAGGTACGTGTATTTCGCCGGCAGGAAGGAAATCCTTCCGGACGATGAGGTACGTGTACCTCGCCGGCAGGAAGGAAATCCTTCTGGCCGATGAGGTACATGTACCTTGTCGACTGGAAGGAAATCCTTCTGGCCAATGAGGTACATGTACCTCGTTGACTGGAAGGAAATGGAAGGAAACCCTTCCAGCTGGCTGCCTTGCCGTCGAGTTAAAGGGCGGGTATCCGCAGGTATCCGCGCGGATACCCGCCAGCGGTTGCGGTTGCAGATGTGGATATCAAATTCCGCTGAAATTGTGAGCGGATATCCGCATCCGCACGGATATCCGGATTCACCGTGACCATCTCTACTCTGATCACACAACTTTAAACTGCCCCTGTGCTGTTGTGTCTTCTTTTAACTCCCGGGGAAACTTCAGTTCCTTTGCTCTTCCCTTTTTGGTCTAGCGCCAAAGCCAGAGGTACCTCTTCTTTGGATTCTATGCCGGTCAAAATTCTACTGGCCCTGCTCGGACCTTCACCCTTATCTTCCCTAATCCCATGTTGTTCCGTCTCCTCTCCTGGACCTAACTCATTATCCTCAAATATTTGGCTTTACCCTTTTGGCAACACATGGTAAAGGAATAGGATTTTGATTTCAAATCAATGAGAGCAAGCTCCTTGGACCAGTCAAGAGCGCCGCAGTGTTGGCATTGAATGTTAGAAGGATTGAGTAAGTGACTGGAAATGGGAGAGGGTGAGGAGTCGTTGTTCACACCTTGATGGTTAAGAGAATCCATAGGTAAATGCCCTTTTGGCAACACATGGTAAAGGAATAGGATTTTGATTTCAAATCAATGAGAGCAAGCTCCTTGGACCAGTCAAGAGCGCCGCAGTGTTGGCATTGAATGTTAGAAGGATTGAGTAAGTGACTGGAAATGGGAGAGGGTGAGGAGTCGTTGTTCACACCTTGATGGTTAAGAGAATCCATAGGTAAATGTTATGGAAAATTATTTAAGATTTTTAGGAGAAACAGGATTTAGAGAAGGCAAGTGATAGACAGAAGGTCACAGTTGCAAGGCAGGTCTCAGAAAACGTTTTGAAGGAAAGTCAACATTGCAGAAAAGGCAAAAGATGATTATGAAGAGGATACAAAGCGGAATACTTAATAAAGAAAACAAAGCGGAATCGAGTGGTGGGTCTAGGCAAGGGAAGAGTTATGGAAATGGCAATAGACGACAAAACTCGGTCTAGCAGGAAAGAGGAAAGTGTGTATATAATGGACGGGAAAAGAAGAGGCCAAGACTATGTGAGAAGAACTGGTGTCTGGCAGCTTTCTTCTCTGTAAATGTTCACAATTGTCTGACAGAACTTTTTCAAGCATTCAATTGCCTTTGTTTCAGGCCTGTTTTTCACAAAAAAAGAATTATCAGACTTGCAATATACTAGATGAAAATTAATACAAGTCAAGTAGGAGGAGGGCAAAGACTATATAAGAAGATGGAATGTCTCCGGTCACAAGATGTATTGACAAATGCGCTCAGGTTGAGTAACGACTTGATGTCTCTTACAATATTGCACATTGCAATGCCTGGCTAAAGTGCAAAAAGTGCCTTGGTTTGGTGCTTAAGGGTTTAACTTGTTATATATTGGTTTTAAAAACCCTGGATCAATCAATGTATCTTGGGTGTTGCAGCAATTGCTTCAATGGTAAATATTGACTTTACTCCTCAGGAATATAAGAAATTGATATACTGAACTCAAATCATTGAGGAACGCAAGCAAAATGCCCAAGGATATCAAGCTCAGTAAAAATATGAAGACTAAATCATAAAATGGTGATGAAATGAAGCATTGAAAGCTACAGTCCCTTTTCCCCTTTCATCTAAACTACAACCCATAACTTCATACTTCCCTCTTGAATGAGCTGTTGGCTATAAGAATGCTGATGAAGATCATTCAGCATCCACATCACACCCAAAACAAAAAATAAAAAACCAATCCAAATAATCTTCTAACTGACATTAATAGGCATGGCTAAAGTAAGACCCCAAAATCAATTCTTGCTTGATCAGTGCATTTTATGCTCTCCAAGTTCTGAAATGAAATTCTAGTGCTTATTATCTACACTAATTTAAGTTAGAATCATAGTTGTGGTGATGTCATGGCCCAAGGGGCACCTCCTTAAAATTTGGTCTGTTGTGAACTTTTTGGAACAACCTATAAAGAATCTGAACTCAGTAAAGAACAAATTCCAATTCAAAAACCATGATAGAATTGAACTTCCACTCATGTGACAACCTCTGCAACTTGTTGTACCTCTCCAAGACCCCAAACATGCTCAACAAACAGGCAGCTTTTTACACTCCCAAGGGAGTCATTAAAAAAGAGCAGGGCATGGTAATCAGTGAAAATATCAGTGAGATAAAGAAGAGGTAGGCCATGAGGTATCCCTTGTTAGATGCTCATACATTGAAGGATTCCAGTGCAAAGCCCATTTAGAAAAATTCACCAGGAAAACTCTCAGACAGGAATATGGAAATAAGGCATTGAGTTGCTTGGGGTGCTGCAATGTTATCAGTGTCTTATCCCTCTTCAAGTAGAAGGACTGAAAATCTCATTTTGAAATGACAAGAATTTAGGAAATGATTTCATCTTCACCCTGCTCAAAGATGCTTCCACATTGCGAACACAAACAGCTTCTAGCATCCATAACGTGCCAACTGATATTTTGTTTATTTTGGGTGCTGAGGGAAATGGGTAATTTTTAAGGCAACAAGGTGCACCCTTATTTGAAAATATTGTTTCTGTTTTATGACGCAAAAGTTGCACCCCAAAACTGAACCAGAGTTACTATGACACCAACCTAACCATAGTCAATTTTTTCATTCCTCTTGTTGCTGGGCATATGTATCTGTTGGAGTTGTGCTTGGCCTTGCAAGTGCTTTGCATCATACATGTAACTGCGGTATTCCTTTATCTCGGCACTGGCACGTCCACCCTAGAGTGTCCTCCGAAAGATCCAAAAGAGCCATGTAGCGGAAAGATTTTAAAAAGCCCGAGGATGAACTATTACAACAGTGCAACATATTCTTGGGTGTTCTTTTTGAAGACGGATACGCGTCGCAGGTTTGACTCCCACTCCTCCGTTTCACCTCTTTGGTCCATTCCTTCTGGCCACCATGCAATGACCACGTCTTCACAAAACATGGGACGTGATGCATACTCAACATACATGCCTTCGTGTAATGGAGAACTCCGCGAGCGTTTGACCTCCGTGTAGATGCATCCAATTGTGATCTTGTGCTCCGCGAAACTTCACTCTGCCGGTGGCAATCGTGCCGAGAAGTTACTCTGCGGGCTTCCTGATTTATATTTAATGCATAGTGCCAAACGGCCGCTTCAGTCCGCCTAACAATAATACCTGCTCGCTGCTTTTTTCTCCCATTACTCGCCTCATCATGCGAACTCACAAGCCATGCCTGGCAATCCTTGGATTCGTTTGCTTCCTGTCAAGTTCTCATTCACTTCACATTAGCCGTCTTCAATCTCGGGCACTCCACCATGCGGAAACCGTCCTTAGTGACAGCGAACCTCTGGGAGAAGCTATGAGAAACGGCTTGCAACGACAGCCCACGACGCCCACGACTGGAGAAAGCAAGCTGTTAGCGCCTGACACACAAGGGTCTGGAGGACATTCAGAGACAATCAAACAGCCCGTTTCTTCAGAGGCTACTCGAGAAGGATTGGTGCCTGAAAGCCACCCGCCTGAACCAGAACTCACAAAAGTGAGCGTTTTTGTTTTTTTCAATCCGCAACTTCATGAGCGCGCAATCGGCTAAATACCGATGACACTTCGAATTCAATAGTTTGGCAAAATAAAAAATAAGGTTATGGATTCCTACCAAGCTTTCAAGACCAAACCTCAATTTCTCGCTGGGTAAGCCACTCTCTCTAGACTTACCTCTTCGACACATCTATTTGCTAGGGGCTGAACCGCTGTTCCCGGTGGCTAAACTCGAATAGCTTGGTAAAACCGTTCGAAAATTTGCAGAAAGCTAAGGAGGCCCGTAATCAGCGTACCACCGCGCAACGCATGGAAAATTTTAGTAGGTCACATAACCTTGATACAATGTTTGCGGCAGGCTGCCCTGTTTCTGATTTTGTTGATTTTCTAACTCCATTCTTTAGTACAAATTCGAAACCAGCTTTCCAAAGCTCTCGTGGAAGATGAGAAGTCAAATGGAGAAAACAATTTGGATCTAGACAAATTGGCCGCGCAACTTGAACAGAAGCTATCCAAAGCAAGCAAACCCCTCAAATCCGATGACAACGCGTCCCCATTCACAAAAGCGTACCTGGATGATTACCTCAAGAAACTTAAGAGTCATCAAACCATTGTCAATCAGCTTAAGAATGTCCAGAAGCGATGGTCATCAACCGAAATTATTTCACCAGACTTAACCCCAACCGAACTAGCCTTGCAGTCTGAAATATTGAGCTTCATCCGGGAAGTGAATGAAATTGGCTTCCACAACCGCTTTTGGGAAGACTTGCATGTCATACAGGTCAGCATCAACCAGGAACTCAAAAAATGGCCGGCCGAGTCCTTCGGCTACCTACGACAGCATATTCCCAACCTTACAAAGGAGTACCTCATAGATAAAATTTCTTCGCGCCCGCAAAAATTTGTTGCAGCCCGGGCGCTTCAGTTGAAGGGAAAGCCCCTTGAAGAGCTTCCCGGTAACAGTTATCTTACCGTAGAGCAAGTCATCGAACGATTACCATCTGATCTTGGCGATGGAGAGATGGAGATGGTGATGTACCGTTACGCGGTGATAAAAAAATTTGAAGCTCTCCTGCAGAAAATACGCCAAGAAGCAACTAGCCTTCTCGAGGAACGACTTAAACTTTCTGTCCAGCCTGTCTCGCCGACAGAGGCAAATCACCAGTTGAAGAAACTTTTCTCAAGCCCCACCAAACAAGATTCGATGTGGCTCGATCAAACCTTCGAGAAATTCTACGGGACGAGTCCGGCAACAGTATTTGTGAAGCTGAGGGGTATACCGGAAGACCAAATACTAATGCGCTCTGTCCTTGACAACAACGTCGAGTCTCTTGCCTTCTTATCCGAAGAGAAGATGGAAGCACTCCGAAAGGCTTCGTCTGATCGTCAAACCTTCCAAAAAAAACTCAAATCAATCAGTTCGAAACTACCACCTGGCATCGAAAAAGAAGCAATAGAAACTGTTAGGAAGGAAGCCACCATCTCCTATCCCGCTGTGGAACGACCAATTGTCGATAAGTTACACAGCCAGCACATTATCAGTGACGAACTGAAGGCAAAACTAAACCCACCTGGGGGACTATCTCTCGAAAAATATTTGAAGGCTCTAGGTACACAAGATGAATTGAGAAAGACCTTGATGTCGAAATTTCAATCTGACCTTCGCAAGCGTCTTGAAGCTCCTCAGGACGATCCAAAGGAAATTTTGGACCGCACTGTTACCCTACTCGCTCAATCCCACATTGACCAGCTCGATATCAGGGCCAGAGTAAAATATCTCAAGCCGGATTCACTCCTCTCAAGACGACCCCCGGGCTTTGGTGAAGCGTTAGGTTTGTACGATCCAGAAAAACTCACCCATCTAGCTGATGGTCCCCAAGAGCCAGCAATCCTAGCAAAGGCATACGTCGAAGCCCACCTTCCTCTGACACCCTTGGCTGAATATAAATCAGATCTGGATGAATTATTGAGTGAAGTCAAAATCCCTCAAATTGCGCCTGATGCGAGTGAGTAGAATAGATGTTTTCGAATATCAGCTCCATATTTTTTTTCGAACTGACTTAGCTTTTGATTCCAGAATTCTCGGACGACCTTGGTTTTACCGACCGATTGGCCCTTTTCGATCAACGGCTCTCTGCAATTTACCTGGAGCCATTCACAGAAGATGACCCGCGTTTGAGTGGAACTCAATACCAAAGGCTCACCAAGGAATCTCGAGAAAGTCTGAACAATCTAGTCCACACGATTTACTCCAACCGCAGGAAATTCGACGCGATCAGCCAAGAAGAACGCTTATTGAGTGGCCAAATAGAAAAGATCGAAGCCGAACTTGCTCCACAACTTCCAGTGGTCACCAAAGTAATGAAAGCTACGTTAAAGCCTGAGAAGCCTTTCAAAAGGCTTGCCAAGGATTTCTTCTCCAAAAAATTGTATACCCCCATCTTGCGATTCTTGAAGAAGCTCATGAAGACCGCCAAGTCCAAACTTCAGAAAGCGACATGAGCATCATTGTCAGGTACCCAAGCCCCGTTTCTCGTTCATGTGCGTAGAGCCCATGGGCTTTCTCGTTCTCGTTCTCTTTCTCCTTTATAAATTCTGAAATAACCACAAATACATTCATTGCATACTACTTTTCACGCCCCTCATTTCACCTTGCGCTCCACTGAGTAGAAAAACCACATGTTTAAAAATATACCTACTCTTTTTTTGTTGTTGTTATTTCTTGAATGAGTGAAAACATTAAATATGCAAGCGCTGGTACCAGCACCTGGACCACAGGCTGTACCTGTGCCGGAGCAGGGAGAGTTAAGTCCCCATGTAACATCAGACGAACGTCTTAGACTGAGAAAAGAAGTTGGGGGAGATAAGTCGGCACTTCTCAAGCAATTGATTGACATAATTCAGAATGATGCTTTGGACCAATAGAAATTGAGATGGCGAGATAAAAAAGGGTCGTTATTGAAGAAAAACGAAATAGGCAAACAGGCGCGTGAACTACAAGAAGAGCAAGCCGACTAATGTGTCTTTTATCCCGCGTTTGATTGTCGATAATAAGTCCAATCGAATCGGCAGTTGAACAGCGAATTAAAGATTGATTGCAGGAATGTAGCGACTGGGTACATAGCCCGAGAGCCAGGAAGACAGACACAGGTAATAATAGGTATACATCGATGAGGAGGCCACGGAGCCACGGAGACGTGAGTTCCGTTATCGGGTTGACGGAAGGATACGCGATAGTGCATATGTCTTGTTTGTTGAAATCCTTCGACCTGCTGGAATTATCTCGACCTTGTCTCCTCTCCTCGCACTATTCTTCTCGTCATGGACCGTATAAACTACCGTTTTTTTAATAGCCTAGGTAACATATTCAAGAATGCATGGCAGATGGTCAGTATGAAGTCTTTGGTAGTCTCCGAGACTGTCGCTTTTCTGTTGATCGGGATTGTAAGAAAAAAAAAAACTACCTTTGGTACGACCCGATGAAGAACTTGAGTAGTCCTGAGTACTTTGACCGTTTTAGGTTGAACGCCTGATTGGATTACGACGCCGACGACGGGTTTGACGATAGTCTTGGTGGCTGCGAGGAGCGACATATTGTAACGGTGGAGCGGTGGGGTTGAAGTTGTGCGATCACCATCAACGGCCGACGACGGATCGCTTGTCGGAATTGGGCCGATGCGCAGCAAGCCCCCGGGTCTAGGGTCAGGGTATTGGTCGGGCGGGCCGACCCGAGACCCGACAGGATTTGGGTCGGGTTTGGGCAGATTTAGAGGGAGAATCCAATGACCCGAACCCGACCCGGAAAGGGACATAAGATCCACGGGTCGGGTTCAGGCAGGCTATTTGCTGGTTGGGCCGGCCCAGAAACCCGACTCGGACCCGAGTCGGCATATATAAATATGTACCAGTCCGACTCAGACTTGCACATTTCCCTATCATATCATCTTTCAAAACTCACCCCCGGCCCCTAGTAGTACCCTACTCACCTACCCCTCCATCTCATCTCCATGTCCAACACGGCCCACCTGGCCAGCAGGGCAAAAAAAAAGAATGCCGACCAAAGATAACCCCCACTGGCTATGACCAAAAGCGAATCGGGTTGGCCCAGACCCAACACTGCCCGACCCAAACCCAAAACATCCCAAGACAGGTTTGGATTCGGGCAGCAGATTTCCTTTTCTGTCCCGACCCGACCCGCCCCAAGACTTATGTCGGGTTGGATTCGGGGACGGTTTTTCTGCCTGAACCCGGCCCACTTACACCCTGAGTCTAGGGGCTCTCGAGGGTCCGACTGGTCGCAAATGTGCACATTCTCCAGACGGGTTCCCCGCTTTGTTGGCAACACTTTCCAGTGTTTCAAGTTCTACTGCTGGTGATGGTCTCTGAAACATACCTATCATGTCCACCAGAGCTTGGAGATTCTTATAAATATTATCCTCAACAACTCAAAATGGATCAAGCTGTATCATGAAATCCCCAACAGCCCAGGGCATGCTGGGCCAATCACAAAGTTCAAGGTAATGTTGATGCATGAACTTTTGCAAAGGAAAAAAACACACTCTATCAAGGGAAGGTTTTAGATTATGCATGAATAAATGCAAATAAAAATACCTCATCAAGGGACAGTTGTGGATAAAAACCCCTGGAAAACATGTAAAAACTAATGAAGAATTTAAAAGTTTAACATTAACCCACAAACTACCCCTATGAACAGGAATTGCAACTAACAATGGTGTAGGAGAAATTATTTCTCCCCTTTAAACTATGTTGGCCATTTTTTTTTAAAAGCCTGCTTTAATTTTTTTATCTTCTTTTGTTGTTCAGCTCTCAGCAATTCTCCAAGCAAAACCTATCTGATTTTACATGGCTCTATTCAGCATGCAGATTTTTCCATCACCAATTTTTCCTATTCTGTGATCCTGAAATCAACTCTCAACACCTTTAAACTCCATTCCTATTCTGTTGTGATGTATTCAAATAACATTTTCTGTAACCCTGTAGCTCTATCATCCACCCTCCCCTTTGTTGACGATCTAACTGCTATGCTTGGTCTTTTCCCAAGTCATGCGCTTTCATACAAGTTCTTACTTCAAACCAACTTGAGCTTTCAACCCCTTTCCTTTTGTGCTCTATTTTACAACTCAGGTCAGTCTGATAATATTTTGTTTAATAAATTTGACTCTTGCTTAATTGTTCCGTAGCATATGCTATGCTAATATTTCAATCTTGGTTTTCTGGCTACCTTTTTTTCAATTTGGGTCATACTTGGAATTCACCATGAAGCATTTATAAGATGGAGCTCTGTGAGAATTAACACCATTGGCCTTCATCCATCTTCTTAATTCTTCAGGATTATCCTACATACTTCACCATCAAGATAAAAAAAACATATGCTAAGTATTTGGCCAAGAAAATTATACTATGTAACACCTTTAAACACCAATGCTGATAAAATTGGTAAAAGAATTTTGAATAAAGCTGGGGTTGAAAGTGTAGTTTCCACATCAGCAGACAAGGAGAATGAAAAGGCTTCAGGTGCTATAACAGTCAAAGCATTTAATAAAATATGATTCATGGGATTTACTCATCACAAGGCAGAGATTAAATTAGGCATTCTAATATTATCCATTCTTTGCCAACCTCTCTCACACCTCAGCATAGCAATTTCTGTCTGCTTGCCGCAGCAGATCTTGCTACAATTTGGGTCTGGGAAAAAGAGGTGATGTGGGGCCTAGTGGCTCTACCTCTCCTCCTTCCAAAAAGGCTGTGGAAGTGTAGGAATCAAGAAGAGAGATAGAGGGATATCTTGGGTATACAACCCCTTCACAAAATCTGCATGGGTGGGTGGGTGGTGCAAAAAAATGGGGGGCGGAGAGGCCTAGCAAGAAGGAAGTCTTACCAGCTAGCTGGATGATCTGCGACAGGCTTGAAGGAGAGGGTGATCTAAGGACCCTTGGTACTATCTCCTATCAAGCTTGTGGGAATTAGGTGGTCTGAGCGCGGTGATGTGGCAAAAATTTCCTGAGCGCACCAGACTGGCCCAGATCAGCTAGGTTGGCTGGCAACCATGGACAAAGGTGAAATGGCTATGCCTTGGTCACCCAAAAGTATTGTGGAATTTAGGCATATAGAAATGACTGTGAATTTGAAACAGCACAAGAATAGTGGTTAAAAGTTTCAGTCCCAAGGCCATCAGTGGTCACATTTTAAATTTTATTGGACTGTTCAAAAACTCCAAGTTGCTTGATCACATTGTACTACAAAGGCAATTTGACTGTAAAAGAGTGGCATTTTATTGTTAAAAATTCCCAGGAGCATTGGGACTTTCCATGAATACAAAGAAATTTCAGGGAAAAAGTATGAATCAAGTGTTTTTATTCCTAAACAGCTAATTGTTTTCCCATGGAAAACATTAGGTGGGGTTGTCTTGCGTCAAGGATTTTCAGAATTTATTTGTAATTCAAGTTGGGTCTGACTCAAGACTAATCAATGTGGTAGTCAAATGTATATGAGGACATATTAACATTTTTTGTTCACTCTCATCTTCAATATCAAAACCGTGGGATTTGTCTGTTTTCAAAAAGGGTTTTCCTGCTTTTCTTGCCAACTTATGACTTTTAGTGACCAGAGGATACCGGTACATTACTTGCCTTGCAAGTTTACATGTGCCCAAGTTTTCAGAATAAGAGTATTATGTCTCTTTGCGAGCCAAAGTGGCTTGGAACATTCATACATTTTTGTTACTAACATCTGGAAGCTCTCTCTGGGGTCCTGATCTTTCTATTATATTCAAGTGATTCTCAGATTCACTCATAAATTATTTTCTGAGATACATACCCACAGTGCTGGATGAGATCCAATAGCATGAATTCTACCTAACAAGAGATCCACAAGAAGAAGTATGATGGGATATGTTCCCTTCCTAATTCCTGTATATCATATATGTTGATCATTCAAGAGACTTGATTCAGTCAAGGAATCAATGGAAATTGAGATGACTTGATCTGAAGTGCAGCATCTAATTCTGTCAGCCTAGGTCATATAGAGATAGATAACTGCATGTTGACAGTTGAAGCCCAAATTGGGTGTATGTATGGTGTCCTGTGCATTTTGAATCACACCCAATGTGGCTGCACATTTTTCCTCAAAGAAAAAAAGGCTCAGACTATATATTGTGTTTTGAAGTAAGCTTGGACAGATTTCCAAGTTTGCTGTTCAAAAATCATGGCATTCGATGATTTTGAGTTCGTTTTTTTTTTCTTCTTTTTTTCTCTTCCTTGTGAAATAGCATTGATGGCCATGATGCTTTCCACTTCGGCGACAACAGGCTGTGCTTCATTGGTATCGGTGGACTGCAGGCTCCAGCCTGCCAGCAAAAAACCACCCAAATCACCAGGAAGCAACCAGGTTTAATTCTTTTTTATAGCCACCATTACCAAAATGTCGCGCTTTGGTCTTGACCTCCTTGGAAGAGAAAACCCGCCGCCGGGCTACTATTCCGATTCCGAATACTGGCGGATTCAGGGGGTTGGTCAACAACCAGCCAATTTAACGGTCAGCCTGGGTTTTTTTTCTTTTTCTTTGTTTCAATGCAATTGGCACTGATTGCTTTCAAAACACCTCAGATTCAGATGATTGATTGCAACACCAGCTACCGGCTGTTTTCACCCAGGGACTCGTCAAAACCTCAGGGGTCTTGGTTGTTGGTCAGTAGCAAACATAAATTCACGATTTCGTTCCCAGCAGTCTCTACAAATCTCGAGCAGTTCCGGGAGATTGTGGCGACAGCGAGTGACGAACAGTTCCGTGGTGCCGGCGATTTAATTCGGAACGCTATACGGTCCGGATTCCCGCAGACTGATTGGAAGATCTCAATGAGTCTCCCAGCAGCCGATGAATTCAAAAAGTCAGCCAAGTATACTGTTAAAGACGACGATACCTTCAATCATTGGATTGCGACCGTTGTCAACAATGGGAAGGACCGCACTCAGGTAGCCTTGGAAGTTGCGATGGTAAACCCGGGGGGCTTAAAAAAAGACGCTAAGCTGTCTGTTGAGGTGCACAAACATAACCTGAGACAAGCAGCCGCCCAACGTGCCTCATCTTCAACAAGTGGAGAGCGATCCAATCCATCTGTTGTTCCAAGCGATTTCGATGCTATCAACGTCCTCATGAACAAAATCTATGCGGCCCACCCACCAAACGTCAAGTACCAGTCCAAGTTGCCAGTCTATCTCCATCCCACCGATACCAGTCGCTACATTCCATTAACGGCAGGAACGGTCCAGAAGTGGGCCACAGCCCTTGTGTGTAGATCCTCCTTTTTTCTTGTTCTTGTAATCATTAGCTGACTTGTGGATTTCAGCTGAACAACGAAAGTGGAGTATCACTTCACTCACCCCCAGCGGATCTGAAGTTTGAGAATTTATCTTCTGCAAAGAAGTGTAAACTCAACGATCACTCCAGCAACCCAAGCAACCACCCGGCATCAGATTCCGAAAGCGGTTCCGTTGTTGATCTGGGTATAAACTTACTCAACGAATATCTTGAATTTATCAAGATTCCACCAAGCAACAGGGATGGAATCTCGCACATTCTGACTGAGAATAGAGCCACCAATCCTCAACTCTTCCGATCTGAGAACATCACCCGAGAAGTGATGAAGGAATGGGGCTTACACGACGTCTTCATTGCCCAATTACGAGACAATGTCTCCAAATTTGAAAATTACAAGTCCTCAAACTAGCTCATCTTTTTGATTGAAGAAAAAATCTCACTAAACATACCACTTTCAATTTCATGTCTTCATTTTAACTCAAGTGTGTAATAGCTATCTTACCCTGATCATACCGATTGCATCAATTTCCTTGATTAACATGATCTGTTTGTTTTATTTAACCAATCTCCTTGAACTTAACCTGATTAGTTTTTACCGATCTCATTGATATTAAGCCAATTTTATTTTTGATCGGTCTTATTTTTTGATTTTTTGTACAAGTCCTGACCAGTCTTAACAACATCTTAACCTGATATTTCACAATCTCATTGATTTGAAAAGGTGGAATTCTGTTGATCTTATCAAACTATTAACCTCTTTTGATCGGTTTCATCCAAGTGGTAGACTTATATTATCTTATTGTGATCAGAGCTTGTCTTCTATCTTTAATCAACATAACCCAATGGCACACAAGCATTTTTGATGTGATGAATTGAATTATCAAATCGGTTAATGATATCAGTACAAATGCGAGGCATAATCAACAACTTATTGGGCAAGAAAGGATGGTTAGCTGTTGATCAAATGATACAAAGGAGTTACAAGTTAAATTTGATACAGAAATTGAAGTCGGTCCAGGGTAACTGAAGTCCATGGAGCTTAAAATATCTACTAGCAAGCCCAAGAGGAGTATATGTGACTGAACAGAGAGTGAATAAAGAGAAACACTAAAGAGGAATTGATTGGAAATGAGTCCTAGTTGGGTGGGACACAATACCCACAATGCTGATAGAGCTTGTAGCAAAGCTCATCAGTCATCACTTCTGCAGTAACTTGCCTGATTTCATATTCAGGGTCCTCAGCCTGATTCAAGATTTGTGACGATCGGATTTTATGTTTGATGGCGGCAAAACAAAGCTCGATGGGATTCAATTCTGGACAGTAGGGAGGGAGGTAAAGTAATTGGACACCAGCTGCTTGACAAAGCTGCTGTACTCGCTCGCCACTATGGTATGTTGCATTATCACAAACTAGTACAGAGTTAGAATCGGGATAGCGATTCATCCGAGGTAGCTGCAGAAATGAATGTCAGCTGGCTTGGTAATGAGAGATGCAACAATGAACTTACCAAGTCGTATTCTAGAAAATGCTCGAATTTACGACCGTTGTATGTTTCAAAGGTTGTTGTTAGTGCCACCAGCCCCTCAATCGATATTGCTGGGAGTAGACTCAGGCGAGCAGGATTTTGATTAATGATGAATCGGGCTGAGGGGGTCCCTCGCTCAGACCTGGCGAAGGATCGAAGCAGATCCTTATCACAGAACGAGCTCTCATCTAAATGCAACAAGTAAAAAACATCAGTATACTGGCCAGTGTCATGAAGTTGATAAAAAAAGGAAACTCGCCGGTAAAAACTAGGAAGTCCGCTGGAAAAAATTCCATCTTCTCAACGAATCTATACTTTGCCACCAGTGATTTTTGAATGTTCTTGGTTTCCGGTTTCTTCAAAGTTATCGACAACCGTTCCACAAGATTCCGGTGGACTCCCTCGACGCTGAGGAATACACCACTGGAATCATACAAACGATCTCGGATTTCGTCTAAAAAGAGACCGGGTTCGGATTGAATGAGTCGGACCATAAATTGACGCTCTTCTGTTGAGAGGGTAGCTGGCCGGCCTCGGGCCTCGTAACTGTCCGGATCCTTGATTACACATCGAGTCTCCTCATAGAGTTCAAGCCATCGTCCGAACGATTGCCGTGAAATCCGGATCCCAAGCAAGGTGCAGATTTCGGAAAGAGATAACCCGTTATGTGCCATTCGAACCGTGGCAAGCTTGGTAGCCGGCTCGTGCAATCGATAGACCATCGGTATCGTTGTCGTTGTCGGGTGAGGCGGGTGTGGTCAGGTGCGTAGGGAGCGTAGGGATCAGGATCGATGGGCATATGCCCAACCACAGCTTGCTGGAATGATGTGTGGCTGTGTGAGGCAAAAACTGCCAGATAAAACTGCTGCACAGCAGACGAACTCCATAACTTTGGAGCTTGGAAACATTCCGTTTGTCCAAGCATTCCTCAAAAGACAATATGTATATGATTAACTCACAATTTTTGAATTCTCACAAGCTTTCCGCTTCGAGGAAATATGCATAATTGCCAAAACATGGGTATTTGTTTTATTTTTGAAAAAAAAAGACAAAACAATAATAACAAAACAAGGAGGAATTTTTTTCTTTTTTTATCAGATAGACAATATGAAACATTTTGTGAAGAAAGAGAGATAGGTACCCGGTTCTTGCGGTTCACATGGCATGTTGTCTTCATTGAATCTTTTTTTCAATCTTGATTGTCGTCTTCATTTTGTTTGCATTCAGTCGCACCAACAACGATCTGCTGGTAGACTTGGAGTGGAGATTGCTTAACGATAAGCGTCGTAATCAGCAGATTCCCGGCCATTCAGATCGAAATGGTTGAATTTCTTGCGAGCTTCGAAGTTATCGACGATCCAGGTCGAGAGTTCAGTGACGTCATCTTGAAGATCACGACAGTCTTTGAATTCTCCATGTTCCATGCCTTCCCCACAATAGTCGTCGATCAGCCAAAGTGCGTAATGCAAGCGGTCATCCACAAAGAGTGCCGGAGGATTGTCCTCGGGGGAGCAGTCAAGCTGTTTGTAGATGTTTGTGAATACTCCAATCATCGAGCCGCTGGTTGATAAGTAGAAGCCTGCTACATCCCGTTCCCCACCTGACCATTGTCGGAAGGACTTCAACAAGGTCTCAGTTAATGAGGGGTCTGATAGGATTAGCTTGCAGACCTCCGGGGATGAATGAGTAAGGTTCCACAGTGCGCTAGCAGCAGCACAATGGACATGGTGGTCTTCCTCCTTGATCAAGAGGATGAAATTTTTAAGCCTAGTCATGTAAGCAGTGTCTATCTGAGTCGAGTCTTCTGGCGGAGCGAATCTCTTGCGGTACGCGGGATCACAGAGAAGGGAATCCATGAAATGGATTGCTTGTTTGGAAGGCTCAGATTCAATTATTCCATCCAATTGATCAAGAATTTGAGACCATCTTAGGATTTCAGCCGTGTCGTCCTCAGAACCGCTCAGATAGGACAAAGATTCTAGGGCAAGGAAGTTCTGAAACTTGTCCGTAGAGGGATGGAGAAAGAGAACGGCGAGTGGCTTGATCATTGATAGCCCGAGATCCATGTCTGGGCTTGACCAGTAGGTGGTGCCGTTATTGATGAGCTTTGCTAATACTTGAATCGCCTCGAGCTCGTGTGGGTGGAGCTGCAGATCGCTGAGATTTGGCTCATTCGATGGGGTCTCAGCTTGCTGGGCCTGTTTAGAGAGATGCTTGGAAAATTCAAGAGTGTTGATGATATCCATCACTATCTCACAACCCCGGGATTTGAGTACAAGTTTTGCGCAGTCGTCATATTCAACCGGGTGCGTGAATTTTACAACCCATGATTTACAAGGTATAACCCTTGTAAAATCAATGCCTTGGCATTGTACGGTATGATGGGGGATATACCATGCATATTTTTCCGTGCCATATTAACTTTGGTCAGCCCTTGTAAATAATCCAGGGTGAAACATGCTTTGGAATATCCCTGTATAAAGGGGTTTTATGTAAATATACACTGTATAAATTGCATACCTTGTAACACCACCTCGCAATTTTATACATATACAGACTGCATATTTGAGGTGTACAGGATACGAGGGTTGTTTTACAAGGCTGTATTCACCTGGAATACTCTACAGCCACATGGACGAATACGAATTTCACAAGCCTCAACGCCTCCATCACGCTGGATTCCAACTACGGTATGAGTTTGTCCCTCCTTCCTTCTGCTTTCACTTGTTCCCCCCTCCCGGTAATTTTTTCCCCCTTATTTTCCAATAAAAACTTGCTTTACCAGCTAGCTGACCTTTGACCAGTCTTTCTATTGATGGAGATGTCGGACGCCGGCGATGAGGAACAGAGCTCACTGGTGACTTCTCCTAAAGACACCGACTCCGAGCCAATCAAAGGCAAGAAGATCTTCTTTGCACCAACTGGCAATGAAGAAACCTTCATTGATCACGATTGTACCCTTGACGACAAAGGATATCCACTTTATCCCAATCGCCGGACCATCTTCGTCAAAACTCCTGAGATGACAATCCAAAACTTTGGATCGGTAGGATTCCCCAAGACCAGCAATGTCAAATGGCGAGCCGATAAGTCATGGAAAATGAATCGGATCTTCTGCCTTGGCGCAATGCTCTGTAGTGAGCCGGGATGCCAGTGGGTTGGATCGCCACCAACCGGCAAGAATGCAATAGCTGATTACTTAGCAAGGTTCGTTAATTTGGTGGCTTTTTTCATTTGTTTTTCACCTTCTCTCTCTTTTTGATAGCAAACACCTGACCACCCTCCCATCCATTCAGCGATCCCAAGTGCCCCGGTGCAGCTAGGAAATGCCCTGGAAAAGTGGCACACCAGGCATGCAAGAACACTATCACTCGGTTCGACGAGAATCAACAGACTAAATGGGCAATCCTCTGACACCACGGGACCCACAACCATCCTTGGCCAGCCCCAAAGAAGCCGGATCCCTTATCAAAGCTCAAGCTGAAAAGGGAAGTAATGAAGAATCCATCTGCTGGGGCCTTCAAGCTCAAAGTTCGTTATCTCACATCCTTGACATGCTTGTTTATTCCCAATGCTTAGCTCGATGGCATCTATTTCAGTTAGGCAAGCCGACCACACCGTTGAACCCTTTCGAAAGTGTCACCAAGATCCACGAGGCATTTGTGAACAGTGATCGCCTGCGATATCATCGGCGTCGTATCCTCACGGACCTTGGTATTAACCCAGAGAAGGGGGGCACTGGTTTAGGCGACAAATTCCTACATGACATGTTCCAATGGAACCAGTAAGTCAAGGTCCATTTGATATCGCTTTTCTTCTTCCACTCACTGATAAAGGATCTCTCACTTGCCAGTGTGGGGCTTCTCATCATTTCCTCTTCTTTCAAACCGGGGATCGAGCATTTTACGTTCCAAACGAAGTGGATGGGAGAGCAATTGATCCGCCGCGATCACAACAACAAAGTTTACAGTGGGGGCCTTCTATCGGACGTCACCTACAGGCTTTTTGAGACTGGCTACTTACTCTCAACATCGATGTTCTGTGAACAGACGGCTCGCTGGATACCTGTTCAGCTCTCGTGGATCCGAGGACTAAGCGCAGAATGTTACGAAGTCCATTTCGCTACGCTCTTTGAACAGTTCTATCGCCCCTCATTCACCGTATCCAATCGCGAGACACTTGTTCGGCAGGTCGTCGATTTTTCCTTAGCACAGAGGGAGGGATTCATCGCTGCTTACATGAAGGTTTTTGGAGTTACCGATCGTCAACAGGCCCTTGCGAAGTTGAAGGGGTGCCACGAGCATTTTCGAGCTCAGGTCACCCGCGTCAAACGCAATCGGGCGGTGGTTCCACCCGATCAAGAAGTACAGAATGATTTTTTAATATCTATCCAATAGCAACTGGCTGACTAATGCTATTTATGGGCAGGCCCAATTCCAAAAACTCTGCCTGGGTCTTCTGCTTTTGCCGGAGCCTGGAAAGCCAACTCACGAGCAAAAGATAGACGAACTGAGACGCCTCTTCCCCAAGACAAAACGATGGATTGATTGGTGGACAATGGTCGATGTGGAGGCTATGCTGTTTCCATCTAAACGGGCGATGATCTCTGAATCGGCGAATAATCAAGACAACCTTCCGGATACCACCAATGCCCAAGAGAGCATGCATAGGCTCTATTACATGATAAGGTGCGTGAGTTTGGTAGTGTTTTCGTTTATAATCTTTTCCACAAATACCTGATGGCCCTCTCCAATAGTGACGGCAAGAAATGCCTGATGGTTGGTATGGCCAAACTGTTTGCTTTTGTGAAACAAGCCGAAGGCCGAGCCAAATGATGGTCGAGCACCGGACACAGCGGTGGGCCGCTACACTACGCTACGCTTTTGGCCCAAAAAGCGTAGCGTAGCGGCGCTTTTTTTGCGCCAAATTTTTGTAGTGTTAGCGCTTTTGTAGCGCATTTTCGCTACGCTACACTGCGCTACAGCGCTTTTAGCGGAAAAAGCGGCTAAAAACCGCTAAAAACGGCTGTAGCGCAGCGTAGTGGGCCCTTTTTTGTGGCCCACACGCGTAGCGTTAGCGGTGTCGTCGCGGAATTCCGCTACGCTACGCTTAACGCTAACGGGAATTCCGCTGCGTTACGCTACACTAACCGCTACGGTTAGTGTAGCGGCCCACCGTTGCCGGACACCACCGCCACCTTGCTCCCCAAAAACGTTGGCGGCCGCCCAAAAAATTCGGCAAACCTCATCAAGGATCCTTTCTCCACATACATATCTTACTCGGCGTCGCAGGACTCAGCCAAGCGAAACCGCTGCTGGTTGGCTTCCGCCCTCGAAAGCTTGTATGCGCTTTTCAATCCTCTCTCGCTCCGTGGGACTAACGGCCTCAAATCAGAAATTTTCACGATGCTTGTCAAGCACTTCAACTCGCGGATTACCTGGGAATTGACGCAAGCCGGTCACATCCGATCATTCTTGGCAATTGGTCAAAACTCCTTGCATGTGGCGGCCAACAAGTTATCCCCTGGGAGTTTTATGCCAGGGGCCTTTGCCTCGTGCGATCTTTTCATTGACCTTCTCATCGATCCAACAACTAGGAAGGCAACGACTTTGAAACATCCGTATCCTCCTCGAGAGCTCTTCACAGTCACCGAGGTACGCACGGCAACATGCCAAGAACAGCCTTTGACCGCACAGCCCCATCCTCGCGGGAGCAGAGACATAGCAGTCATCCGGATACAGAAGGATATGTTCGAAGCCGAAACGGTTGATACTAGTTCGATTCAAAGCTTGATGACCGCATGGACAACCGACGGAATTACATCGGTTTCGGGGCTATGCTGCAAGACCTGCCAGTCAGTTAAGAAAGCCGATCCTCACAACATCATCGAGAAATCTCGCTTATCTGTCGATAATGGGGGCCCACCCCAACACTTGTACATGTTGGTACATGCGGCCTTGATCATTGACGAATCGGCGCAGCAATTGTTCATGGCAAGTTTGGATTTTCCTTTCCAGTTGGATTTCCACGGGGTTGGCTACACCCTTTTCTCTCGTGGGTTCTGGAACGGCACCCATTACTGGACCAAGATGCTCAAGAACATCGGAGGGATATCAGGCATATGGATGCACGATGATCGAGCAAATGGGGGTATCGCTCGGCTGGTCAGTCCAGATCATACCCAACTTGCTGGAGCCGCCCCTCACACAAGCTGGGTGTTTTACTCCCGACCGTGGACTTCCAGCAAGGAGAAATTTGTAGCCGAGAGCATCGCCAACATCCGCCGTGACAACAAAGATGCGCAAGGACTGGTTCCGTTTGCCCATCTGAGCATGATCCTCAACCTCGCCGGCAAATCAAATGATATTCCGACAATAGAAGATACGCCGACAATGGAAGAGCCGACAATGGAAGAGACGCCAACAACCGCTCTAATCTTGAGAGTGCTCCGGGTCAAACGCCAAAATCCATCTCAGGCGATCTCAAACGAAAGCCGTCCGGGGAGTTCAAGGTTCGTTTGAAAATCATGAAGCCCCCGGAAACAAGCCCTGCGGCCAAAATTGAAGATAAAGAAGCACCAGTCCCACCAACAAGCAAGGAACCTATGCCGCCAAAGAAGAAGAAGGACGGCATTCCAAAATCAAAGGTAGTCAAGCCGTTCCGGGCCGGAAGCCGAGCAAGCACCCGCAAAGCAGCTTTGCAGGGTTGAATGGGAGGTCAGGAGATTGTGGTAGCTGTTTGTTCCATGCTTTTATCTCATCTTTCACTTCCCTTTTTTCCATTGTAAATAGTATTTTCCCTTGTGAAATTATCACATGCCTTAGCACGATGATACTTTTACCAGCCTTGTGAAGTCGGAATCAGGTCCTTTGTGAGGGGATCCTTGTAAATTTATCCTTTTTGGGCATTATGAGCTTTTTTCCAGTGGTTTTCTTTTCCAAGCAATGTCATTGTGGAAAATTGGCTTGTGAAATTACTTTTTTGGGGGCTATTTGAGGAAATGACAAGCTATATATTCCAAAGGTTGATTTACAAAGTAGATAAAAATAGGAAGATGGGGGGAAAATTAGGAATTGTGCCAAGTGTAAGTTAATTTTACAACCCTCCTCCTTTACAATGCATAAGCGTTGTAAAATAAGGGTTGTGAAATTCCACCCCCCCATATTCAACCAGGTTCGATAGGATTTTGATTGTGATTTGTTTGAGTTCCGAGCTTCCGTCGTCAGTCTTCGAAAGCCAGGCGACGGTTTGGATCAAGTCTGAGTTACGCTCGAGTGTAGGCTTGAGCCAATCCAACAGCTTTCTATCGGCGCGTTCATTATTTATACCATCCCCAGACAAGTGCCAGGGAGTATAATAAGTGGAGGCTTGCATACGTTTTTTTCTGCTTTCGTCAATCGGTAATTCATCTGGAATCACCTTGAAAGATACAAGATTGAGGATAATGGTCGCAAGTCCAGAGGCTATAGATTGAGCGGACGTGAGATTCTCTTGAGCCCGATTAGTTTGTGAGAGAGATTGGGTGGTTTGGAAGAACTCTTCAGATCTCTTTCTCAATATTTTTCGAGCGGATTCTTCCTCGCTGAGAAGCGCCAGACCTTCGATGACCGAGTTGGGAGGATTCTTGTTTCCCAAGAAGGCCGTCATCATGATTTCGACGAGCTGCTCCGACGAAGGTGACCCCGTGGATGGTTGGTCGGTTGATTTCCCAAACTTCATCAGCGCCAAACTTGCTCCACAACGGGCAGGAATCGAGGCCGAGGTGGGACTGGTGGCCAGAGAGATGCCCGTTAACCAATCCACACATTCGGGCCACTCCGATCGGATCCTCTTGCCGAGCGGTTTGTTGTTTAGACAGAGGGCAAGAAACTCCGAGAAAGATTTATTCAAGTCGGCGTCTTCGGGTGGGCTCTGATTGAGCGCGGCAAGCTCAACGACTGATTTGGCAAGTCGAGAAAAAAAGCCTTCGACGTGAACGAGTTGGAATGCCTGGTCTGGAGAAATTGAGTAGATCGCGGAAAGTGTGAAGCCCCGGCTTCCGGATAAGGTAACTGTAGTGACTCAGAGGGTGTAATCGGTCTGGATTCCGGTAGGTGTGGCCCGGAGGAGACGGATGTAGTCTCCTCCGGCTGGCTGAGCCGCAGCCGAGTCACACCATGTGACCTAGGTCACAACACCCACCCCCTCGGCAAGGCTCCAAGACACCTGCCAGGGAGGTCCTAACTACATACAAGCTGAGAAAAAATTGGAAGAAAATGAAGAAAGGTAGAAGAAATGAATAATCAAAATAAGATCAATCTTGAAGAAGAATTGGTGTGGAAAGGTTGAGGAGGCTGAAAGATATAAAAAAAATAATCATGATAAAATAAAATGGTAGAAAATTGAAATGATGAGTAGGGTGAAGATAAAAAGATCAAATGTTGAGAAGTGGGAAAGAGGGTTATAATGTGAAACAGGCTACTAATAAGTGGAACCATAGCCATCATCAAAACCACCATTGTCAAAACCGCCATCGTCAAATCCACCGTCGTCAAATCCGCCGTCATCAAAACCGCCATCGTCAAAGCCGTCATAATCAAAACCGCCATCGTCAAAAGTGCCGTCATCAAAACCATTGTCGTCAAAAGCCTCTAAATGAGAGTTGCAGTCGTCTGAGTGATTGTAGAACATAGATCTTGACTCATCATCTGGAGATGCAAGCTGCTGTTGGTCAAAATTGTTGCTGCCGATGTCGTCAGGCTGGTGGTGGTGGTAATTGCTGTAGTCCTGGCAGCCATTAGATGTAGAAACCGGGTGTTCAAAGTGTTCATGGGTTGATGAGCTTTGTTGAGTAAGGGTCTGAGTTGGTTGATTGAGGTTGGAGATAGCATATTGCCGGAAAGATTCGGTTCTAGCATCAGGTCCCATGATGTGAAGGTGCTTGAATTCATCTGCTGACAGAGTCCTAGTCCAGCAGTCTACATCGTCGGCGCTGTAGTTTTTTAGATCAAAATTTGGGTCATGTTGTTGCGTCCAATCGGTTTCAGGACAGGTATGGTCAACAGAACCCTCTGGAACAGCCTCAGAGGTCAAACTTTCTTCAAGGTCAAACTGATAGGGAGCTGCATTGATATCCAGATCGGACCGGTCGTCCCATTCAATTTCATCCAGATTGATTTCATCTGTTAGCTTGTCTGAGCCGCAATCGGTCTCCTGTTCTTCAATTGTCTCGTCACTGGGTGGCTCCAACAACAACTGGGTATTGGCCAGATCGCCAGGGTAATTGACCACCACTTTTCTTCCATGATCTGAATATTCTCCACTCAAGCGTTGATGTGCCCGTTGAATTTGACAAGTGCTCTGAGGGTCTCCGGGTGGCCTGTAACGATCTCTGCGGTTGTAAATATCGTCTTGCCGTCAATTTGGAGAAACCCGGACCGTGCATGCTGCAGGAGTGCTGAAATGTCTGGTTGAAGTAATGGATGGCCGAGGGGCTTTCTCCGATTGATCACACTCGTTCCGCAGTTGACTTAACTTCCAAGCTCGCGAGTGATTTGTTGGTCGTTTTGATCGGAGCTGTTGATGAGGACCACGAAACGCTAAGTTCTGAGCACAAACAGTTTGATTGAAAATTGGAGCCGAATATGAAGCAGATCCTAGCACGAGATTCAAATCGGCCAAGAAAACCCAAATTCAACTGTGAGCATTCTGAACATGAGGGTCCATCGATCTCAAGCTTTTGATGATGCAAGGATGATATATATATAAAATCCAGTGGGATCCGGTATTATACGTCGGATTGATTAGGAAATAACAAAAGCCGGTTAATTCGTCGGTGCAGTTGAAAAGTGGATCCGGTATGTTTCGTCGGCGAGATTCAAAGAGTTAATCCGGTATGGTTCGTCGGCAAGATTCAGCAAGATTCAGATAATTGGTCCGGTATGTTTCGTCGGTTCGAGATTTCTTCAGCGTAGCCGGTATCGCAGGCTCATAACCTGTAGTGACTCAGAGGGTGTAATTGGTCTGGATTTCGGTAGGTGTGGCCCGGAGGAGACGGATGTAGTCTCCTCCGGCTGGCTGAGCCGCAGCCGAGTCACACCATGTGACCTAGGTCACAACAGTAACGGCTCCAGCGGAGCCTTATCCAGCTGCTAAATAACCTATCGACCGCTCTCGGTCATTCTCTTTTCTTATTCCCTTAAACCTACATATTGTTCGCCGCTCTCGGCTATATTATTTCATCTCGCTTCTTATCTATATGTTGACCTCATTATCTTGTATATTAGAAATACTAAATACGGACCGTACTTAGCCAAGTCCGGTCCTTCCCCTTATTCCTCTTGTAACATTACCCGAACCATCCAATGGGACTACTCATATTCTTCTCGTATATCTTTCTTTCTACTCCGATGTCCCTATTTCATCCCTTGTCTATAAATACGAGCTCTCGACGCTGCAATACAATCCTCAACAAGTTCTCTCGTATCTTTTCCGCACCCTAAAAGCCGGCGAGAATCACAGAAATATTTCTGTGAGTACACTCTTCCTTTATCTTAAACATTCTCCGTTCTATCCTCTAGAATCCGTTAACATAAAGGATACTAAAACTCACAAACCGAAAAAAAAACCTTTAGAAACCAACCAACCACTCTTACCTCTACTCTCCCTACCGGCATCGCGAACCGGTAAGATTTCTCCCTTCCTCTAAACCTCTTCGAACAAAGAACAAATTTCCCTATAGCTATCTGAAGCCGTTCTCTTCAGAAATAAATAACTAAACCTTTTAAACCCTCTAAATACTTTCTAGAAACCGTTACCGTCTCATCCGAAAATGGACGCCGCCATGAACGATGGAAACCATGCAGCCCGTGATGCTGCCCGAGATGAGGTAATTCTCAATCTACAACAGCAAGTGCAACAGCTGATGGCTAACGCGTTAAACCAACAGGCTCAACGCGCCGAAGCCGCCCCTCGAGTCGAAACCATCTCCGTCCGCCTCCCGGACTTTGATGGGAAAGGCGATGTGGATATTTGGATCAAGAAAATTGAGTGCATCCTTGCTGGACGTAACTACCCCCAGGACCGCTGGACCAGCATGATCATCCAAAACCTCAAGGATACCGCCGAAGCGTATTGGTTCAATCTCATCAGCAAGTTGGGCACCGCCGACATACCGTGGGCCACCTTCAAACAGAAGCTCACCGACCAGTTCAACTATGCTCATAAACAATATGATGCTCGAGTGGAGATGCAGTTCCTCAAGTATACTACGGCCGAGGAATATATCAATAAGTTCAAACGCTTAGCTATCAAGTTACCGGCCGACAAGATGACCGACGAGGATAAAAAGTTCCATTTCACCGTCAACCTCCCCGGTCACCTCCGTGTCAAACTCCTCAGCGAAAAATGTGACACCCTCGACGACCTCTGCCACTTCGTTAGAGAATACGAAAGGGTAACGAAGAGCAGCAACTATTGAGGAGGATCAGGAAGTTTCAACTTCAATAATTATCGATGTTTCAGCTTGAACAACTCCTCCGGCGGTCACTTCCGATGCCCATCCCACAACAACTTTGCCCCGGCGCGAAGGACATCTGTCAGCGCCAGCGCTCCTATGGACTTGGATGCGCTTGATGTAAGTAAGGCACGATGTTATAATTGTAATAAGATCGGACACTTATCAAAAGATTGTCCATCTCCCCGAAAAATAAAATATAATAATAACTCAAAGTCCACAGACAAGCACCGTGCTAGACCATCATTGAATTTAATCGACCTAGATCCACCAGAAAATTCGAAACCGACCGATCATCTCTTCTTCATTCAACCAACCAAACCGGAAGAAGACTCTTACAACAAAATCAATAACGATCTCAAAGAGATTAGTAGTCATTTAAGTAAGAGATTCGACAAGGTGGTTGCATCGATCAGACAAGAAATCTGGAACATCGACCGGGACAAAGAAGCTCTACTAATGTGTAGTCGAGTCAAGTCGGGTCTCACTACTCTCAACCGGAAAGCCCTAGAATTCATACCCGGCGCCAGCCGACATGGTATCACTCGGGAACTACAACTAAACACCATGCAAATCAATCCATCCTTGGGTCCGATGAAGAGGAAGTGTCCCGACGGTGAATCTAGACCCAAGAAATTAGCTAAACATTCAGACTGCGAATACATCGATTGGCTACAGATCGACAGTGATACCAAATCTTACGAATTCGAACTCGAATCAGATTCAGATACTTCAAGCATCGTTTGGATGGGGGACAGTCCAGCAGAACTAGAAAAAACACCACCACCGTTAGATCTAAACCACCTCGACGAGGATGAGAAAACTCTCCCAAGGTACGAGTTTGGCATCGGCGCCGTCATCTGCGACACCTGTGTCACTCCAATTCTTCCATTCCAAATGGAGGAAAAAACGTTCACATCCTCCATTTGGAATGGAAAAATGGGTGGAGCTGGATGTTCCCAGCTCCACCCAGCTCTCCCCAGCCCTTTTGCCAGCTCAGGGAGTTGGATTGCAAGGGCTGGCCTCCCCGCAGCCCACACATTTTTCACTGTGGGCATAGATGCCCCCCCCCAACCTCAGCCCTTGGGCTGAGGTTGTGGGTTCAATTCCCACCCTGGCTAGTGGTTAGGGGGTTAGGTTTAGGGGTTAGGTTTAGGGGTTAGGTTTAGGGGTTAGGTTTAGGGGTTAGGTTTAGGGGTTAGGTTTAGGGGGTTAGGTTTAGGGGTTAGGTTTAGGGGGTAGGTTTAGGGGTTAGGTTTTAGGGTTAGGTTTAGGGTTAGGTTTTAGGGTTGGGTTTTAGGGTTAGGGTTAGGGGTTAGGGTTAGGGTTACGGGTTAGGGGTTAGGGGTTAGGGTTTAGGGCTTAGGGTTTAGGGTTAGGGTTAGGGTTTAGGGTTTAGGGTTTAGGGTTTAGGGTTTAGGGTTTAGGGTTTAGGGTTTAGGGTTTAGGGTTTAGCGTTTAGGGTTTAGGGTTAGGGTTACGGGTTAGGTTTAGGGTTAGGGGTTAGGGGTTAGGGGTTATGTCAGCCTGCTACTAATCAGAGCCAGCCTGAACATAGCATTTTACATATAAATTAGAGATATTATTACTTATATATGTACATACATTTAAAATAATAAAATATACTATTTAAATAAGTGGAAGCACTATAATAGAGACATTATTACACAGTACACTTACATTGTAATATTTTAAGAGAAAAACATTTAAATAATTAAATAAATAATGGGAAATAACATTTTTAACCAGAATCTCCTAATAACTTCTGAACCTTAAGTATAACTCAGAATATTATTGCAGATTCTGAATCTACATGCAAAATAACCTAGGGTAGCTCACCAAGTGTACCCCTGAATTATTACTCCTTCACTTACTTTGTAGTCCTTGAGTGGTATTGGACCAAAATATACTGTAGACCCCTCCAGTTACATCATACTACATGTTGTAAGGGGGCTACATGTGTAATTAAGGTTCATACAGTTCGGGAAAAATCTACAAACAAGGTTTACATCATTGAAACCTTAATTACATGAGCACAGACTACAGTATTAAATTGTTTGGGATGATCTGTGGCCCTTTTTGGCCCAATTGGGACAATCACTCTCTTGAGGATCAACCCATGCATCATGCAGTGCTTACATAGGCTACAGGAGTGTTACAGTTTCGTCAGAACACCCTGTAAACATGGTTACAAGCATTACATCATCCCCTTGACACCTGTAACCAAGCTCTACAGGTGCTACAGATGATCAAAAGCTCCCATAGGCTTAGTAGGAGAGTTGTAGCAACTAGAGAGACTCCTGAGTTCGCCTCCAGAGGCCCAGAATGGGTATTTAAGAGCCCCTTCTTCCCCCTGAACTTTGATCCCCCATCTTCATCAGTACATACCAGCATAAACCGTCACCAACAACCAGTTTCAACCTGCCTTTTGGCCCAGTTCCTGCTGTTATCAACCTGAATTTCACTCAACAACCCAACACCTGTTCCCCAGCACTCTCCCAACACCTCTCACTCACCTTTCTGAGCGCTTCAAGAACAGTCCCCCTCTCCTGAAGACCTCCTTGGCTTAGAGATAAGTACCAGTAAGTATTATCTCTTTGTTTTCTTCAGTAGTAGACTTTTTTCTGGGTTTACTCCTTTATTACAAAGGACCAGAACTTCAGTACCACCCCTGCAACTCAGGACCTGAATTAGAGGGCACAGTAAAAAACCCCTGCAACTCAGGCCCCTCTGTAAATAAAAACTTAACAGTTTTTATTTACTATTTTCTTTTATTTTACACACACTTCCCCCACTTTTCACGTGTCACCCACACGTGTACACATCCCATTTCACTTTTTTGCAGCTAGTGTAGCTAGAAGAGTTTGGCTCTTGGCATCACTTAGCCTGACAGGTTAGGGGTTAGGGGTTAGGGGTTAGGGGTTAGGGGT